ACGTAATCGGGACTTAGGCGTATCGCTTATAGTTATCTACCTTAGTAAGGATCTATAACGTCTTCTACGTTACTCTATTAGAGCTATATTCTAGCTAGAAGAGTAAAGCGTAAGAGGAGCGTATACTACTCGTAGTCGACGAGGATAGGTAGTAGGAGGTTAAAGAGATTCTTAATAAGAGAGTACAAAAGGGCGAAACGTTTTATTTAGTAAAGTAGCGTAGATGGCTATTAGAATATAACTAGTAGGAACCTAGTGCACATATTAAAAACTGCGAAGCTCTCGATAGGTTCGAGGCGTAGGCTCCGCGTAAGCGTAGAGGCCGCGTAGTAAAAGAGGCTCGGAAGCAGAGCGGAGCAAAATAGAAGAAGAGTAATAAGAATTAAGTAGTTTTATTACGGTTAGACCTAAAGGGGATTACTTTATAGACTATACTATAAGATAGGCGTATGCGCTGCGCAAGCCTAGAGAACGCGCTAAGCACTCTACTTAAACTTATTCTCCTCCGCCTCCGACTCCTCGAATAGCTCGTTTCTAGCTAGGGTAGCATCGAAGGTATTAGTAGACTACCCTATTATCTCTAACTACTATATAAACGGTTAGTATTATAGACGTATACGAGGAGTAGGCGAGACACTTACGACACGACCGACTTAAGTAATAGCTACAAGATTATTCGTTAAGCGAGTAAGATTAGGCGCCTCGACTACGCTACTTATACGCCGTATACCCGAGGCAGGCTCGTTAATACGGATCTAAGCATCTAACTTAATACTAAAGGTGTTTACCGCCGCCTTATAAGCAGCTTCCTCCTAACTGCCCTTCTATATAGCAGCATCTACTAGATTAAGCTCGTAGGCCGTAGCTATAACGCTATCGTAGCGTAGGCGCATCGCTACCGGTACGGGTTTATACTTATAATAATTATTCCTTTAAGGGAAGTTAGCGCTACGTAAGAGRGGAGCAGGCGTCTTAAATAAGCATTACTTACTTATAGTAGTCGTACTTGCGCTTAAACGAGCTAAAGATAGCGTTGTAGCGATAGTTAATACGAAGGTATGCTAACCGCGTATAGCGGCGACAGGCCGTAGGCACCTCGACGGCGCGGCGCTTRCTTACCGACGCTTAAGCGGGGGTCGCCGGCGGGTCGGGTACGCGACGCTTATAGGGAGTACGTAGCGCTATAATAAAGAGTAGATGTTTAGAAGAGAAATCTATAAGGCAGAAAGAATGTTAATAAGAGGTAGTTGCTAGGGTGTGTTACTTAGCAAACAACCTACTTAGAGATCTATAGATATAAGACCCTTACGGATAGTAGCGGTAACGTATGCGCCGCGTAGTAGGGGACTTATTAACCCTCTTATCGAGTAGCGGTTATTAAGGGAATTAAACCCTCGCCCTTCTAGGTACGGCATTTAGCCTACTAGAAGGAGGATAAAGTTCCGAAAGCGGCTACTTCCTATATAGCTAGTTTAACTAGCCGGCTTTTATATAAATAGCCCGAAGGTTGCTTAGAAAATAGGCACTTTACTATATAGAGTCTACGGACCCCGAGCGCGACGTATACGATGCGCGCGCGCCTCTATTTCCTAAGACTACGAACTAAGGCTAGTTCGTATAAGGGGAAGGAGGTAATTATAAGGGCCGTGTAAGAGCCCTTATAATAATAGGATTAATAGAGGTAGCTAGATTAACTAACCTTAGAGAAGGGAGTGTAATATAACCTAACTGCTTAGCGTAGGCTTAGCGTATATATAACTCCTACGCACAGCGTACATTTAACCTACAAGAATTAGTCTTATCTCTAATCGAGTAATTACGGGTGTCTAATACATTACTACATCTTTACCCTTATAGACCGTTAAGCATTATCTCTAAGGTATAGCTTCCTTAGTAGATAAGAGGCTTAAACTTAGTTTCCTAATCTTCCTACTAGGATAATGCATTCTTCTTTATTAAGCCCCCGATAAGGCTAATAAGCGCCTCTTCTATAGGTCTAAACCTCTAGTTAAGAGTAATTATATTATTTAAGTAGCGGTTAAGCTCCTAAACCTAGAGAGTAGCTATATTATCCTTAATATCCCTATAGTAGTTAGCTAGAATGCTAATAGTCCCCTTAATACGAGGGGCTCTCTTAGAGGGGTTAGAACCTCTATAGCGACGGTCCCTTAATAGGCCGTTATTATTATCTAATCCGCTTAAATTAGAGCTATCTCTAGGGAATCCCGGAGCGGTTAGTAGTACTTAACTACCCCTATTGCCTCTATTAGCTTAGATAGTAGCGGGAGGGTCGTTAAGACGGAACCGTACTAACCCTAGGTCGCTTAGTCCGCGTAGAATAGCAGTACCCTAGTTAAGTACATCGTATTCGCGTAGTCGCTCGTTTTCGGCTTTAAGTTCTTAAAGCCTAGCGGCGACGGCTCTTAAGTAGATCCTAAAGGTAGCGTCTTCTATATCTAAGGCCTCTAGTATAGCCTTAAGTTATCCTCCCTAAGGAGGGTTTTAGATATAGGAGTATAACTAAAGGTTATCGATTATATCGGCTAAGAAGTAGAAGTCGTACGACTCGCGCTTAAGCGAGCGTCGCGTAGGCTTTAAGAATCCTACGACGATAAGCGGAGGGGCTTACTCGGCCTAAGAGGTATCTTAAGGGCGAGAAGAGCCTTCCTCGTCTCTTACCTTAGATAGGTTAGCTATTACTATAATAGCTTAGTCGGTTAAAGGTAGATAGTATAGTGCTTTAAGAGAGAAAGGTTATAATTCTTCCTTTTAAATTAAAGCATCCTACTTCGTTTAAGTATAGAGTTTTTCTTAAGCGCTATAGTAGCGAATTACTAAGACACCTTTAAGTAAGGTAGAAGGAAATAGGTTACCGTACGTAATACATTAAGTGCCTATTATAGTTATCTAAGATATAGTATATTATATTTCTAGGATACTTAGCTAAGCTAAGGCGATTAGCGCTAGCTTAGCTATAGTAGTATATGCTTAAGAGGGATTCTTACGGGATATAGCGTATCTAAGCGCTATATCGGCGACTTTCTTAGTATAGCCCTTACTTAATAAAGTAGAGCGAGCTACTATAGCTCCGAGGACGGTTATAAAGCGCTTCCGAGGGCTCTAGCTTAGGTATACGGTCTAAGTTAGAGTTTTTACCTAGCTACGGAAGTATATAGCGTAACGCTAGCGTTAAGCTAACTCCTAGGGTAGTCTAGTAGAAGAGTTCTCGTCGCTTTAATTTAAGGGCTATATTAATGTCTAAGATACGTATTCTTAAGCTAGTAGGCTTCTTTCTAAATCGTCTTATATAGGGTAATAGAACGAACTTACTAGCCTACTAGCCCTAAGTAGGCGAGGTAGACTATAGGTCTAGCTAAGGAGCTAGACTTAAGCTCGGAGCTACTAGATGTTCCAAAATAGATAAACTCTAATTTTAATTTACTTAAGGGAAAATTCCTCGGCTATATAGTCCTGCCTAAGTCACGTGGCTACTTAAGCCTTAGGCATACATGCTCAGTTCTCAAGTGGAGACTTTGAGAACACCAGCTCAATGAACTTCACTTCACCATTGTCGATTGCGATTGAAAGACATCATCACCATCATGCCGGCCATCAATCCACTCCCCGTGCTGCGCAGCTGCGCCTTCCGTCCACGACAGCCACTCTTGCGATCCACCAATGCGGTCATTGGGGTCAAGAGACCTGCGCATCGCTCGTTTGCGGACAAAAAGAGCGCAGACCTGCCGGCCGCTGATCAAGATGCCGTCGGACCGAACATGCAACAACAGGAGCACGTCAGCGAGGAAGCCGCGAAAATGGCCAAGGTCCAAGGTGGAGAGGGTCCTGATATGAGCCAGGGCACGCCTGTGCAGGATGTAAGTAATGTGAGGAGGGGATTGGGAAGGTGACCACGCTACGTAGGCATTGTGCTGATCGCGGCGCAGATTCTCAAGAAGGAAAAGGACACACGCAAAAATGCGCCGCAGGTCATCAAGGACGACATCAAGAGCGGGAAGCCGCCGGCAAAGCCTTCGACACGCACATTCTCAACTCTCGCACGGCGACAGATGGAGGTCACGCCGAGCTCTGGTGCTGGCTCTCTGGATCCGTCAATGATGCCTAGCGCTGCCCAACAGGTGAGTGTTACGTGGCAATCTTGCCGGCAATGAAACGTGTGAACTCAGCCAACACGGAAGTCCTTAGGCTCAATACACTGCCGATCTTGATGCATCATCCAGCCTGCCCGAAGAAACCAAGGGTCACAAATTTCCCCTGCCTGATCTGCCTCTGCCGCCTACGGGTGCAAAGGACTACAGGTACGATCCTGTTGTCATGCAAGTGACCAATTTGCTCATGCAGGATGGCAAGAAGGGAGTAGCACAGCGCAACATGGCCGCCATCCTCACCATACTCCGTACCACCCCTCCACCGACATACAACCCAAATAGACCACTTCTTCCTGGCGCCCCGCCCGCGAGCCACCTACCCCTGAATCCAACCCTATATCTCACATTAGCCATTGACAGCGTGGCACCACTCCTCCGCATTCGATCACAGAAGGGTGCGGCGGGTGGAGGTGTGGCTCTTCAAATCCCAGTACCTCTTGGTCTGCGACAGCGAAGACGGCAAGCGTGCGAATGGATCCTTGACGCAGCACAAAAGCGAAAAAGCAGGGGCAGCGGGAAGGACATGTTTGCACAAAAAGTCGCAGAGGAGTTGATTGCTGTTGTTGAGGGGAAATCTGCAGTGTGGGAGAAGAGGCAAGGTGTGCACAAACTTGCCACGACAGCACGGAGTAACCTCAACTACGGTAAAACTGGAAGGAGATGATGACTCTTCTCTGTATATATTTTGTACTATGAAGGCAACCCATTACCGACATCATAGCAGTATAAGTCTATTTTGTGATGTTCATGCCTTGCTTGCATGTCAGATGACGCTTAAGCGAATGCGAGACGGTCGAGAAACATGCTTACCTAGGTACTCCAAGCTTTTCGAATGCCTGTGACGCCTTATGGGCATTCGTTCGATTAGAAAAGCGCGACTCTGTCACTCAGGATTGATATGTCACGTTGCATGCAGTGAATGGGTATATTTGCTAAAACGTTTCCTGGTTGACATATTCACTCCGTCGAGTTAGGATCGACGACAATTATGGGAGCCGATGCTCAGTCAAACATTTCCTGGTCCCCGGCCTCAGAGCATCGATATACCTACGCACCTAGTCTACATGACCTCACACTCCTGGGTCCGTCCTCAATGCTACCACAGTGCCCAGCTCACTACCCCAACCCTAACCCTACGATTTCCATTTAACGCGACCCTGTTTGAACTCGAGCTACCTCTATGCCGGAAGAGCCGTCGCCCTCTACTATCGCCTATAACAGGTACAAATGAGTCTAGTGTGTCCCTAATATAGGTCATGGTTCTGCGTCGAGGAGCCGCGTGGCCAGGCGGTCGAGACTTTCAGCTTTCGTATTATCCGAGGCTACCCCTGGCGGCTATGAAACATCACATACAACATCCTTCACCTCACGGAGCGATGCCGACTGCTTGAATGCGACTAGCGGCTCTGTTGCCCTCGTACTCCCGGGGCGACCATTGCAGCAAGTGCTGATATTGCCATTCCTTCGGCCTGTCGGCTTGTCGGCTGTGAGTGGGGCTGTGAATGGCTGACGAGATTGGTGGACAAAGCAATGTATGCCATCTCACCATAACACTGCTCCTTGCAGCACGACAGCGATTGAAGCGTTTGGTCTTGCGAGGAATGTCAGATCATGATCCGTTGACCATTGGACAGGGAGAAAGAGGGAACATGAGGTCAAGCCTTGAGATCTCTCCACGTCAAACAAGCATTTTTTGGAGAGATCGGCACTCGCCGCTAGTGGTTCCGAGGAACCCTGCAACTTTCACGCGCTTTGTTGCCTCGCCTTGCGCCATTTGGCCTCGTGCTGACGTGTCTAAGGATTCCCCCCCGATCCTTCTCCTCTGCAATACTCTTAACTACTCACCGTGACTCACTCTAGATTTCTCAATACTCAAGTGAAGTCGCCATATTATTGACCAAAACCACCACAATGAGCCGCACCACCGGCATGTTCGCCTTCGCAGCCTGCACGTTGGGCGCCTGTGCTTTTTTGATTCCTCCCGGCGTTGCACTGGCTAGCACCGATGGTCCGCTTACATACCCTACATCAAACACCAAGAGTTTTGCTCTCCAACTTCCCTGCTCGGAATGCGTATTCTCATCCAGAGACGAGGCTGTCGCCGACCATGCTGAGGATGATGTCTTCTGGGTTACTGGTGGCGCCAACACAGTGATTCTGAACTTCACCGTATCCGACGATGGCGAGRGACTGGCACTCAATGGGGAGGACATTTACCCGATCCGATTCACGTCACATAATCTTGCCAGGACGTTTGTCGACCAAGTGCCCGCGATCACGACATGGGAGGACATTGAATCCCGAACTGCGAGGACCACACCGCTCGAACTTACTGGGTCAGCGGTGATTGTCAACTCCGAGGACGCGATCTCGCCCCAGGGCGATGTAATGGTATCTCTCAAGCATACCATCCTCGAGCTGGAGCATCAAAGCGTATCGGTCGATGCCGTCTCAATAAAGCTGCTGAAGACTGCATCTGGGGAGCTTATGATCGCACACGTCGAGACCGTGGAAAGACTACCTCCACGGCCAAATGATGCGTTCGGGCGGCCACCACCATTCGAGCTCGAGCGTTTCGAGGAGGTTACTGATGAGCTCGGAAGCTCACTAATCCCGTCAGGGCTTTTCCATGTCGAGGGTCCACGTCCGGATAATATCGGATCTTTGAAGGAGTGTGATGTGCTTCCCACCGCGTTGTGCAAGCTCAGGGCTGCGGTCCAGACCAAAATACATAGCATGAAGGATGGCATCAGAAAGGGAGGATGCCATGGGTCCAAAGGCATGGGTCGTCCGTCTTTCATGGATCGTCTGCCTGAACACATCAGGCCACACTTTCTACGTCCAGATCATGACGAAGACGGCCCGCCCTCACCCCACCACGGCCGCCCTCACCACATGCGGCCTCATGGGCATCACCACCATCATCACGAGCACAGCTTTATGCAGTCGTTCTCTAGTGGCTTCACTGCTGTACTCATTCCTACATTGGCTGGTATTGCCRTAGGAATGATCGTCAGCCTACTTGGTCTCTTTGTTGGCAGATTTATAAGGTTCCTCTGGATTCGGGTCTACCGTGGAGACCGTCGTGGCTACGCCAGTGTTGCACTTGATGACAGCTGTGTCGAAGCTGACGCGGAGAAGGGGTTCCCGCCGGAGGAGGATGTGGAGGAGCTTCCTGCTTACKAGCATGCACCGGCATATGTCGAGGTCATGAAGTAGCGTGTGGCTTGTGGTGGATGGGTCTCCGCTGACGTTGACTTATGTACTGCGAAAATGAATCAGGTTTAAGCAAACACAACGGCGTTCAGTTGGCTGAGCAATGAACTCGATGGATCGTCTTGGGCCGGCGTACGGATTGTCCCTGTGGTATGATTTGATTGCGCTACTGCATGGGGGATCGTCGTCGGAGAGCGAGCTATTGGTCGTGGCTCTAGAGCTAATGCGTCAGGYATTCTTTGTCATGACAGCTTCCGCCAACCTACGGTCATGTCAAATTGCATTCGATGGCTGTCAACGTAGCACTGAAGACAGATCTCGCTTCGATCTCAGCCGTAAGCCTTTGAAAGCGCCGAGCTGGTGTTTCGCATGGTGGGAGCGGATCMCAAAGGAAAGTTCTGCTTGGCTTGGCGCAACAGACCGGTCGAGGCTATACTTGGGGTTGTACCAAGAATCAAGATCTTGTCCGGAGTGGTGTGTGATCTTGTATCACATCCGGCAGCTGCCGTGACGATAGCCGCGATAATAAGGGGATACACTGGCCAGAACTGACCGGCATGGCAGTGGTCGGGCTCCAAAGTGCCTTCCAAATGGCGCTCGATCTGGGCCTCGTCTTGGCATTTGGATATCCAGATCSAAACTGTATACCTACTGTACCTACAATTGAGTATTGAGACGCGTTCGGCAAGCCTCTGGCATTTTGAACAACACCAGCCCGGGATGCTTCGCTTGTGAACAACACGTGTTACAAGGCGATGATGGCGCGACCCTTCGCTTCCCACACCTCAGCTGAGCGACGATGCACAGGTGAGGTGGGATCCGAATTCCGGAAGTTCCGCCGATCGCGCCGCCGGCCGTTGCCATCCGGCCCTTGGTGTCGTTGGAACACTTAGTCACGAACGTCTTTTGTGCTGCAAAACCTTGCCGCCAGTTTCAAGCCAAATGCTAAGAATTGGYCAACCGTGTATGGCAGTATCAGCCTAAGGTTGCGCCGCGAACATGGTAAAATCTGCAGGGAAATCTGGGCGTCGATTGACCCTTTTTACGGCCATGATTCAAGAGATATAGGCACGCGGTCCCCCGTCGTTGCAACTGATACCCTTTTCCAAAACGTTTCGCACCAAACACCTTCTCACACGCAACACAATCGTCACTATCCATCATTCCTCGACCAAGACTCGCAGAGTTGCAAAAATTCCACCGCACGCTAGTGCGATCTCATCTGGCTGCACTCGATTGCTTCGACCTTCCGCGGCCAAAATTCCATTTTCCGAATCAGGCAAAGAGGAAAACCTTCAGTCACAACGCATCACCACCTGGCAAGGCTTGACTTCAAACCCGAGGAGGGTACTCCGTAGCAGATTGTGTGCGGTCAGCGTCTGCATTTTTGCCTACATCCTCGTGGTTTCCCATCCGATAATCTGGTTCCTTTATTGCACAGCATTTCACTCGTTCATAATTTGCATAAGTTGAACGATTCATTATACAGCAACTACATTCGTCTATCAAATCGCATATCGACGAAGCCTTCGTTCACGGATCAAACATTGTACTCCCTCTTTCCAACGATGATGATGCAGCACGTGCCCGAGGGTACGCACGCTCAACAAACCTGCTCATCCACGAGGTGAGTAATGAATGGAATGGAATGAGGATGTAGGGCTAGGGCTTGATCGAAAGAGAGTCCGATGCATCGAACGATATGTACAAGACTGACTTTGTTAAACTAGCGAGCAGCAGCTCAACAATCAGAGATATGCTGCTGCAGCCGCCAGCGCAAAGAACCTCACGCCTCCTCCTAGCCATGCTGGAACTCCCAGAAGCTCCACGGGGATGAGCTTGCCAGCTAGTCTGGCGTATGATGATTCACGAAGACGATATGTTGCACCAGCATTGAATCGGGCATTCTCGTCCGAGGATGAAGACGAGCTTGATGACAGGCTAGAAGACGACGATTCCACGACTTCAAGCTTGTTTCCTTCATCCATGTACCGGATTCGAGCGGTGTCGAAAAGAAACCCGGCACGCACGCGTTCCGAATCCTCATCCTCACTCTCACAACCAGCGGGCAGCGTCTCGCGGATGCCAGACTCTTCAGCCTCGCGACCTGATTCTGGCAAAGAATCACGATCGATGACGCCGGACATGATGACTGCTTCCGCACCCATGTCTGCTGCTTTTGCTCGACTGAACCACAAGGTATGTCGTCTTATCGATCTATTCTGAAGAACCGCTTCCACCGAACTTAGCTGATCATGGTGATAGGATGCTCCTGAAAGAATGCAACGAGGGAGATCGTTGCCTCTTAGCCAGAATCTGGGAGCGAAGATGTTCGAGGGTGCTGCCTAGACGTTCACACGGCGATCGGCAGTGCGACACAGCGGCACAGAGACATAAGCTCTCTGATATGCGACTATGAATTGATGATCTGGGTGTTTTTAGCGATGGCGTCCCGAAGATTAATAGCCTGTAACAATTGTCAGATGAATTCATGGCCTAGGCGGCTTGCAAGGCCGCCAGGAAGTTCGCGTAACGGATATGGGCGATGTGGAACTATGGTACATGCAATCGATAAGCTTGAACTTGAAGACATGACATTTCTTGCATTCTGAACTCTGATCTATGTTGTACAGTCGCTTGAGCTTGTCAGGAACAACTGCGTACTCATTATCAACGACTCCCTCGTAAAAGCATGGACTTCATGTTCACAACAACACCAATTCATCATTCATGATCAACCGCCAGAACCTCGCTCTCATCCGTCTCACTGGTACCCACCAAAGTCCCCCAATCACTCTCAGTCAAGCTCTCCTTCAAATAATCAAGATCATCCTCATCCAGATCCTCAAACTCAACTTCTTCCTCGTGGCCCTCGGCCTGTGTAAGCAAAACGACAATGCCGCCCTTCTTGATACCACGAAGCTCGCCAACGGTATTTCCGCCAGCCCAGCGTCGAATTGGAGTAGCGAGTTGGTACAGCGCATCAAATTGGTCTAGAATCTCTTCGACTGGTTTGCCGGTGAGTCGCATAAAGGGTTCTGGGTCTGCATGGTGGTCAGTTTGGACCTAAGGAGATGGAGGGGGGGAATAGAAGACATACCGAATCGGCGTTTCAGCTCTTTGATGAAGGCGAGATGGTCTTTGCGAGACCATTTCTGTAAGAATGATGACTTTACGCCGAGTTTGGGCGAAGTTGGAGCTTCGACGCTCTCTGCGGAACGAAGAGCTTTTGTGGGACTGGCTTGCTGCTCAGCAGCGTCGTCCTTGTTGTCGATAGTGGGCGGCGAGGGCGCGGGTCGCAGTTGCGCGGCGGGAATGGGCGCCACGTCGTCTTCTCCGTCGTCTTCTTCGTCGTCTTCGTCGTCTTCTTCTTCGTCGTCACTTTGCGTGAGGTCGATGACCTCTTCTGGTGTGGCTATTCTGGCCCTTTTCGCCGGAGGAGGAGAGACGACTTCGTTGTCGCTGACCTCGATAGATTCGTATATAATCTCGTGCTTGAGGGACGCCATGGTTGCTTGGCTGTTGTGGATGTTGTGGAAGCGAAATGTGTTTGTGTTTGTGAGAGGYGAAATGTTGGAGAGGACGCATAGTGAGTAGTGAGTGGTATTTGAAGGAAGATGGACAATGGATGTTTTTCTTTGCGTGACAATAGGCAGGGAAAAATGTGTTGGTATTGTGAAAAATGTGAAAGGTCATGTCTGGTATCCATTCACTTGGAACTGGCGAATTTTTAGCGTGTGGCTGAGATCATTGCTCGGTTTACTTACACTCTTCGGAATGCAACTCCGCTGATAATCACACGTCCTCCTAGTCCTGATCGCTGATAACAATTTGTAGTCGAGATGCAATCGTTCATAGCTCCAGTCCACAGTTGCAAAACGCTTGCATTCATGGTATATTAYTCTGCTTATCACCCGAGCGGGAGTGCCTGGGCATCTATCTCTATTTCCAATATCAACATGCAACACACCAGTATTGCTGGATCTCACCGCCAACATATGATCCGGTTCGCGCGAGGTTCCCTCATAATCTCGATCTGATCTGCTGGTTGTGCTTGCGAAGCGGCTCCGCTTCCCCATACCGATCCACTTCGTCCTCCTTGCCAGGATTTGAGCTCTTCTTCGGTGCAGCGTGATATCCTCCCTTGAGGTTGTCTGTGTTCACGACCTTTCCAGACTCGTCCCTTTGAATGCCAAGTTCGACCAGCTTGGCGAACACCTTCGAGAAGTCCTCGAAGAACTTGTCCTTGTCGCTGGCGTAGAGTTRAACGTATTTCTTGAAGCTTGGGTCCTCAAGCAATGCAAGATCGGTGGGCAACATCATCAACTCTTCCTCTGCATCTTCGTCGTAGTAGACGTACTGTCGTACACCGTTGTCCAGTACCTTTTCGCGCCACTCTCGGTCCATCATGAGCTTGTAGTAACTGTTCGAGAATCGCGTCGGGTTGTTTACCCAAGCACCGTGAAAGCCGGATCTATGAACGTTAGGAAACTTCATAATAGCAAATCCCACATGCGGTGACTCACCTGTCTGAATGACATCTCCCCAGGWTGTGTGCACCTGAAAGCGCAACGATCTCTGTGAACAAAAGATCAGTACTGCTATGACATCGAACACATCCCATACACTAAGTCACATACCTTGGTCATTGAAACCCATGCGTCCGAAGATATGCCTCAAGTGATCGCTACCCAAGGCACCGTCTGGTAGGCGACCACGAGGCGGTAGCTTGCTATCATCCACGTAGTCCGTCCGTCCAGGATACCAATCGATCTTAGGACCTCCCATGGCTTCAATCGCAACGACGCCAGCAAGAGTCCACAAGTCTGCATATGTGATCCAGGGGTATTTGGCCTTTACAGGTTCGAGGAAGACTCTTGCGTGTTGAAGCCCCGCGTTCGCTGGATCACCTCCTTCGGCTTCGTATCTCATTCCAGCTCCATTGCTGCCTCCAGTGTCTGTCTCCGCACAGTATGTCCCGGCTGAATGCCATGCGAGTCGTACAAGAACAGGTCCGGCAGAGCCATCGTCGTATTCGGGTTGCTTCAGAAGAGAGATGATGTCCTTCTTGACCTCGGTGAAGTCGTGTGTGTTGGCCATGGTTGTTACTGTCTGTCTTTGTGTGTTGGGTGAGGAGGTTTGGTGTGGGATAAGACAGATGCAAGTGATGAAGTGATGAAAGAGGCGCTCCCTACCGCGAAGTGGCAATCACTCACTCATAACGTCGAACCCACTGTTGCTATATTGTCCTCGTCATGCTCGTACCGGCCGAATGAACAGCCTCGGCGATACTGATTCGTCGTTAGGATGAAACCGTGCGATGATAAAGAAAAAATCGGGCTAGCTTGAGCGAGCCGAAGCCAGCGATATCGGTAGATGAGCCGAAGTTGCATGTGCTAATCTTAAGATCTATGACCTCAGCACAACATTCCGGGAATAAACTGTGCGATGGAGCGTAGATCCTCGGCYGTAGCGCTTGAGTCGATATTGTATGGTCCAGATGATGTTCTGGACGAGGGATCAATGAAGTTGTCGTCCAGTGCTCACTCCTCTCATTTTGCAATCCATTCCCTTGTGGCGGCTTCATCCAGATCGTCCAGATCATCCAGTCCACATCATCCAGATCTTCCAAGTGCCGTGAATGGGAAGGAGGGTTGGCTCAAAATATACATTGGCACTATGTAAACTCATTTCAAACATCGGAAGGCTGTCGCCAGCCAAGATCAAAGCTTTGCGCCTTGCTTCTTCATCTTCGCCTTCTCTTGATCCCTCATCAACCGTCGCAAGATCTTGCCACTCGGCGACTTTGGCACAACATCGATGAACTCTATCCCTCCCCGTAGCCACTTGTAKTTGGTCTTGTGGTCTTCCACGTGTTTCGCGATGGCCCTCTTCAGACTTTCGTCATCGCCCTTGCTGCCTGGTTGCTTGACAACAAACGCCTTGGGGATCTCTCCCTCTCTTTCGGACGGGATTCCAATAACGACAACATCGTTGACAGCCTCGTGAGTCAGGAGATGTGCCYCCAATTCAGCTGGCGCTACCTGGTGTCCTTTGGTCTATGAAAACTTAGTAAAGCGCGGCGAAAGCTACTTGGGGAAACGGGACTCACCTTGATCAACTCCTTGATGCGGTCTACGATGAAGATGTGTTCATGGCCATTCTGGCTCTTCGCAATCACAGCCTCATCGCCAGTCCGCATATACCTTCCATCGGCCTCATCAACAAAGGTTTCTCTGTTGGCCTTGTCGTTGTTCAAATAGCCTAAAACAACCGAAGGTGACTTGACCCACAGCTCACCAGGCTGATCGTAGCCTGTGATCTCGTTGCCCTCCACGGTGACAACGCGTGCAGTGATACCTGGAAGGAGAGATCCTGAGCTGCCAAACCAGATATCATTCTTCCACGTTGAACAAACAACGGTCGCAGTCTCTGTCAGACCGTATCCTTGTCGAACCGCCCACTTCGGAAACTGCTGCGAAAGTTCGTCGGCCGTCTCCTTTCCGAGAGGCGCTGCACCGGTAAAGCATCCGCGAACGCTCGACATGTCGAACTTCTTGCACTCTTCCTTTTGCTTCGTTAGATGGATGATCATGGGTGGAACCAGGTACAGCATGTTGATCTTGTAGTTTTGGATGGACGAGAGAAGCCAGTTGAAGTCATACTTGGGAAGGATGATAACACCATCGCCACGGTAAGGCCCGCTGTGCGCGATGACAATGAGCCCATAGATGTGTGACAGCGGAAGGAGACCGAGTCCATTCTCCGTGTAGTGTTTGTTCTTGTGCTCCTCGCAAAGCTCTTGCCTGTCTGGACTTTCGTGGGTGTTGATTTGCAGAGTGTTGGCGATGACGTTGTAATGTGATATCATGACACCTGCAAAGTGCAGATTAGCGATTTTGCGTGTACCTTCAACGATGACTTATGCTCACCCTTGGGAAGTCCAGAAGTTCCTGAGGAGTAGCACAAAAACGCACAACGTTTCTTTCCATCGCCCTGTTTCCAGCTCTCATCGGCTGGTTTTATTGGAGGAAGCTGCGAGCCAGCTTTGATAAGGTCGTCGATTGTCTTGTGTCCGGGATTGGACATACCGCCTGTGATCTTCTCCGGCAGAGGCAGGACGTAGATTTTATCGTTTGGTAGTTGAGAATTCTTCACGCCATCCTTGCAAGTTTGCAGCAGCGGCAAGCAGGTGAAGATGGCTTTCGCACCAGAATCGTTCATCTGATACTCCAGCTCAGATGGACTGTAGGCCGCATTGACGCAGGTCAAAATTCCACCGATTCTGTGAACTGCCCAGCCGAGAGTAAGGTAATCAATCTGGTTCAAGCTGAAGACTGCCACGACCTTGTCCCATTCYGAGCCCTCGTTCGGCTTGAAACCAAACTCTTCGCAAAGTGCACGGGAGAGATGATCAACTCGCTCTTTCATATCCAATGCCGTGAAGCTCCGGCCAGACAATGCGCAGGTAAATGGTGGCTTCGAGTATCCCAGTGGGAAGCGACCATAATGTTCGTCAAACATGAATCGCTCCAGAGAAATCGAGTCGGGTATCTCTGGCAATTGGGGTACCCATGATGGCGAGGTGAAAGGCATTGTTACGGTTGAGAGGGAGGGAGGAAGGGTACGCGTGAGGGTTATGCAATGTGCGAGAAGCAGGTGAAGGAAATGGGAGGAAGGTCACTCTGCTGACCTTGAGGATAGGATGATCCTGCTGGCCGCGGCTGTCCCCAAGCTCTGACCACGCTGCCAGCCATCGCTGTGATGCCCAGATGGCCTTTGCTGTTTACATCCTAGAGTTCGCCAGTGGGCGGAGCCCCGCTTTCCCCGTATTTTTGCTCGGCTCGAAGGAGCTGGAGCTGGGGAGATCGATCTGTGGGAGCGCTTGGACCACGCGCTTTGGGCAACATCCATGGTCACGGGAACAAACACGACGATCTTGGATACGACCTTTGGACGTCACGTCCTCCTCCTCACCTACGAGCATTTGTTGATTACTTTGGCATTGAGAGATTGAATTCAAACGATTGCATGCCAGCTGGGGAACTCCTACGACGGAATGGAATGCTTCGCGTGTCAGGATCTTTCCCGGACTTGCCTCGCTGCCGAGAAAGAGCCATGCCCATGTCCATGCCAGTAATTTGTAACTCCACTCTTCTTAACGGCATCCTTCCCATACCGTTCAGCATCCAGTGCGCATAGTCTACCGCCCTGGCAGGCCTTGCATGAACTCCAGTGCAACGTTTTCCTAGATCGCACTTGATCGCGTGCCTTGGAGAGTGTGTGACCAGTGCAGCTGGTCAGCATAGCCGAAAAAGAGCGTAGGAGTCGATCGTTTCGACTTGAGATGAACTCAGAAAGGTGTGTTTCCCCGACACTTCTGTATTAAAGCAAGCCAGCGGCGGCGACGGCGTTCCGAATATGCTGTTGCGTGGTACACCCGCAACCATTGGCGGTGTATGCCTTGAGGCATTCCCAGCAGAAATTCGTGTGGCATACCGCGCACATCATACTGCTACATCCGCCGGATTTTTGAATTGGCTTATTGCAATGCGGGCAAGGCTTCGAGATCTTCAAAAGCATTGCACGAGACTTGTCATCCTCGTCTGTCCGGCCCTTGATTCGGTTTTGATAGTCGGCGCATGTCTCTGGGGTGTGATCTGGCCGGTCGCAGGGAACGCATGCTCGATGGCCGCATTCGTTGCAGACGCAAATCTTCTCAGCCTCATCCGATGGCTGCTTCTTTGAATTCTTCCCTCCCTTGGCCGTCTTCCGTGGCTCGGGCAGTTGCTCGTGTACTTGGCCTGCCTTGCCTGGTAAAGGTTAGTGATTTGTATGCTCAAGGAGGTTTTACTGCCACCAACATGTGGGGTTCAGACACCACCGCCAATTCGGCACAGTGTCCGCGACGTGACGACGCTCAAGCTCCTGGAATCTGGTGAATCGTCAGTGGCTGTTCCAAGAGGTACTGCCTATGTTGATGACAACTGGCAGCACGAGCCGTCCAGCAGACCACTCACCTCTTGAACACCTTCTTCGTCGCAGCATTCTGCACATTCACCTCTCGCATCACCTCTGGGCACTCTGGGCATCTGACCCCGAACATCTTGCCGTCTTTTCCAAACTCGAAGGTGCCGCCTTCCACGCGCGCTTCCACCCACTTCCGGAGACATGCTATGCAGGTGTTGATGAGGTGCTCGCATTCACTGGAAGGGTTGAAATTGGGGAAGAACTTGGTCTAGAAAACGAAGTCAGCGGGTCAGCGAGGTCTCTTAAGCAATGATGCCAAGGATGATTACCATGCGTAGCGTGCTGCAGCTCGAGCAGCGGAAACGCGGTGCCTGCACCTTCTTCCTCTTCTTAGGCGGCGCGGTAGCCTCCTCGTATGTCTGGATATCGGCGACATTGGCGAGAGCATTCACGTTCGAGCGAAGGTTTCTCGCCATGGCGAGGGTGGGATGAGAGTTCGTGGATGTTGTTGTTGATGTTCAAGAAATTTTGGCTCAAGAGGGTCCGGTYTGAAGGTAGGTCAGCAGAGAACGCAGCGAACCTTATCTTAATCAGGCAGCCGTGACGTGGCCGGGCAAGTGAAGGGAAGGCACCAGGTCGTCACGCGACGAGACTACATTCGCCCGCGGAGCACGACGGGAAGCAGGACAGCGCGGGGACTTGAAGTGCACTGCGAGATTATAGCATGCGTCGCTCATTTGCAACATAATATCTTAGCAAAGAGGCTTTGGCCTTGTTGCCAGAGTCGCGGAGTGCTAGCCCTAACCTCAAGACCTCTGACAAACATGGAAGAGGAGGATACACATTACACGAATAGAGCACCTTTTACAGAATAACATTACAGAAGGGAACGAAATGCTTGAGGCATCTGGTCACTGTAAGGTACTGTTCGGTTGACCCCGCCAAGCCCTTACTTTCACATGCTTGAAGTTGAACGAATTGCGGTAGACTCTAAAGCTAGAATCTTCGCGTCGTTTCGCACAATGCTCTCGATACTCTCAATCAGAACCTTCCGCCGAAGGGACGCTTGCGCGTTCCCGATGGTTCCCGCATTTGAAGAGATCTAGCACAACTTCTGATCTTCTCAATTTTGTTCTGGCTTCCTGCTCCTCTCATATGCCTGGATCTGAAACGCCCTCATTCATCGTCATTTCCCATCACTTCTTCGCCTCTTGTGCTTGCGATTCGAGAGCTTCCATACGCGCCATAGCCTCCTCAATCCACTTCTGCTGAAGATCGAGCTTCCGCTGCAAATGAAGGATCTTCTTACTCTCCGACCGCGACTCCGGGACACGTGGCTCCTCCTCGGCGGCTTCGACACGCGATAGTGATGGCTTGGGAGTTGTTGAAGGGGCGTGATCCCGACGAGCATCGGCGGAGGTGTCGACGTTACCAGAGTTCATGACGGGGGCGTCCTTGAGCTGATTCTGATAAAAGTCCCTCGCTTCACCGGTGCTGATCCGCTTGGTATCGGCGCGATGGCCTGGAGAATTGGTGAGCGGGAGAAACTTTGGCTCTCTCATCTTCTTCTGATCCGAGACTGGGTGCGATGGACCGAGGCTCTTCCTCTGCGATTTGCGCTGGCCCACGGCTTCCAAAGTCTCGTAGCATTTGGTTGGGCTCGGTTCGTGGTTGAACCGATGGATCTCAAGGGAGGCGAGTCTCTGATCCTGTGAAGTGAATTAGAAGTGGATGGGTAAAGCGATCAGGAAATACTTACGAACAAGGCCTCCTGCTCGAGTCTCTTTCTCTCCTGCTCAAGTCTCTTTCTCTCCTGAATGGCATCCTGTTCGAGTCTCATTCTCTCCTGGATCGCATCCTGCTTGAAGGACTCTTCGAGATAACTCAGGCGTTTGCCCATTGCACTCTGCTGATAGGCTGCGATCAGGTCCTTGACGTGATCACCTCTACCCATGACATCGATAGCACCCAGCTCTGTTGCACCCCGGACGTCAGTGCTTTGGCTGGCTCCAACCACATACTTCTCCTCTCCAGCTGCCGATGACCGACGGACAGAAGAGGCTAATGAGTGCTTGACAGCAGTCGGAAGCTTAGCAGACGACTTCTTTGGATCGACATCAACACCACTGTCGTATTGCAGACCAGGCATGGCCGACGTACTCTTCTTGTCCTTAGTCTGCGTAGCAAGACGTCTCGGTAAGCGGGTCTCGCGGTTGGGCGAATGATTCGACTGTTGCTGCAAATCCCACGGGTTGTAGGCAGTAGCAGGAAGTATCTGATTGCCGTCGCTGTCGGCAAGGACTGGCTGAAGATCACGAGGTGCGTGCTGATACTCTTGCTGGTTGAACACAGCCGAGGGAAGATGAAGTGGAGAGACTTGAGCACTGGCGTGGCCCAGAGGGATGGCAAACAGACTGCTGTTACTTGGACTTGGTTCTCCACCCTGCAGCATGTCCTCCACCTCGTTGATGACAACGTCAATCGCACCGCGTCGATTAGGCGGCACTCGCTCGTGGCGCATGAGCTCCAGGTAGTTGTGATCCGTGCTATTGACGGCATCTGATTCCTTTGTGGTCTTGCTGGGTGGAGTCATGAAGGATGTTATCGACGGATCTCTGGCCAGCTCTGGATACGAAATGGAAATGTTCATGTCAGGAGAGATTGTGTCAGTAGAACCGGTTGTTGTTGGCGAATGCGGGTATCCTGCGGCCCGCTGAAATGCACTCATTGGGTGTCCGCCCACGTCCGGCGAGTACATGCTTGGACTGTAAGCTCCAGCATTCTGACAATTCTCCTCCTGAGGCAGGTAGAAGCTTTCCAGACCCAGTCCATCAATTCTGCTTTTCATTTGATCGAAGTCTTCTCCGTCCATAGCATTTGGTACAACAGATGCCCGAAGAGAGTGCACGCTGGGCTGCGCGACGAGTGTGGCGTTGCCGCGCTGGCCGTACCCTCCAAACTTGCTGGGACTGGCTCGATTGTTGAGGCTCATGAATCCGGTGTATCGGGTGGGCGTGCTGTCTTCGAKTGGAATCGTGGCTACGCCGGCTGCTTCGAGCCTCGCCTTCTCCTCCGGTGGGGTGTCTTTTGGTAGCGGAGTCGGTGGGACTGAGTTATCAATGTAGCCGAGACTGTGCGAGCGAGAGTGGCCAGGAAGCCGAGCCACATGCGGAGGCGCTTTCAGTATAGAAGTAGGAGTTTGGGCTTTGGTTTCCTCAGCGACAGATGGCTTGCGGCGTGACCAGAAGGCTTTGCTCTTCGAAGGTGAGCGCCCCACCTCATTAACTTGTGGAGTTGCAAACAGAACTGCGCGTGCCTTCACTGGCATGCTGGGTGAGCCATCAGCCGTGCTCATCGACGGTAGAGGCTGGAGCGGTACAGCTGTGCCGCGGCGGTTCGATCCGCGAAAGCGGTCAAGCAGCGATTTTTTCGGCGATGCCGGAACCTTCTTCCCTTGGGAATCTTCAGAGTGACGTGAGTGCTGGCCAAACTCCTGGTTGGCTGCTTTGGGGGAGTATCTAGTCACAGAGACGAAGTCATCACGACCAGAGACTTCCTGCTGGTTGGCGGAGGTGACACGCTCCTCGAACCTGTTTCGCATCGTTGGCACATCAGGCGTGATGTTGGGTGAAGGCGCCAGCTTGAGCGCAGGAGATGGGACACGCTCCTCGAAGCCAGCGTTGATGAATGGCGACATGGTGGTGTCGCGGGAGCTGCGCGCGTGGCGTGGCGAGACTTGCTGCATTTCGAGCGAAGGTTGGTGAGGGGGCATGACGGAGCTGAGCTCGGGCAGAGCTTGAGAAATGTCGTAGAGGTTGGTGTTGTAGCGGAGCGCGGGATGTATCATCGTAGGTGGGGTGTTCTTCCTCAAGGCGTACTGCTCCTGGTAGAAAGCGTTGCTAGCCAGGCGATGGCGGTGAAGTCTCAGCCCGTCCTCAGCGAACGCGTTGCGGGGGTGACGGGTCGCTTCTGTTCCCAGTGCTCTGTCGATGTCGCAGCGGACCGGCTCAGCGAGGTCTTCTTCCATTATTCGTGGCAACGTGCCCAGTGATCTGCGGTTCTGCGAGTCCATGTTAGCTGGTTGGACTCTAAAAACGCACAAAACAAGTGCAGGTTGGTGTTGAAGTTTGTGTCAAGTGCAGAAAGTGAAGTCCCTCTGCGCGTCGATGATCAAAACTTACTTATTGGCAATCTCCGCAGAAAATGTTGCGATTGTCCTGCAGGAGGGCTCACCATCCCCGTGGCAGAGTCGAGTGAATGCCGAGAGCAGGATGTGAATGAATCAGGCCGCGTGTCGTGCGGCAGAGACGTAGCCACCGCCCCTAGATGGACCCCATATTTTTATTCAGTATGATGATGTTCGAGTGAATGAGCAACTTCACCTGGAGAGCCAGAACGCTGCGTGATGATCCAACATAGSGACCAACCAAYGTCTCCAAACACGTCGAGCAGGGCCTACCACGAGCAGTTCTCATAAACGCGCAAGATATCAATGGACAAAAGAAGATTCAAATTGTAAAGATGCAGAGCTAAAAAGATCTGGAAACGAACAAAGCTGGTGACCTGGTATGAGTGCCTTGCGCGCCGTCCTGAAGCGCGCCATCAACGCCAACGCGCCCAAATTGTCGATGCGAAGAAGGTGGTATCTGATAGCGTCCATTGATTCGCCGCTCACAGTAGATCTCGGGTCGAAATGACTATAGAAGCACGCAGCCCTTGCCCTTTCCTGCATCGTCCAAAAGTCAGCCACTTCTTCCAAAAAGGTCCCCAGGAACAGCAATAGACTTACGCTTAGGCTTCTTAACCTGCGGTGGCTCAAGTGCGGCAACAATTGCCTCGTCAAAGACATCCTTGAGCTTGAACTGTGTCAATGCGGAGCACTCAACATACTTGACAGCACCAAGTTCCTTGGCCATCTTTTCGCCGTCTTCTTTCCTCACGGGCGACATCTTCTGTTTGGCGAGCTTATCCCGAACGTTGGTGTCGTCTCTAAGATCGGTTTGCGTGCCGACGATCAGACATGGGACACCCGGGCAGTGGTGGTGCACTTCAGGGAACCACTTTTCTCGCACGTTTTCAAATGATGCCGGAGAGGTGACGGAGAAGCAGACGAGGAAGACATCTGTTTGTGGGTAGGAGAGGGGTCGTAGACGATCGTAATCTTCCTGTCCAGCGGTATCGAAGAGACCAAGGGTGTAAGGCTCGTCACCGATCCTGGAAAGAATGTTCAGTACCGATGCAGAGACAAGGCAGACGGGGCTTTTCGTACATTACCGTGACCGCATAGTTGTCGAAGACCGTTGGTACATATTCCGACGGAAATTTGTTGGTGGTGTAACTTATGAGCAGACATGTCTTGCCGACAGCACCATCGCCCACAACCACGCACCTATGCAACGCATGTTGTCAGCTTGTGTTCTTTCCCCTCTGTGATCCACCATGATCGCTACTTCAAGCTCTGGTCTCTCTCTTGCTGCACCATGGGTACGGATAAYGCGAGCTCGGTAGCTTGCGTTCGCATACACTGGCCCAGTCCACACAGCATGACCACGACCGAGCAGGGGCAAGGCTGATACAGAGAGACAATAGCTCCGTAGGGGTGGGTAAGAATTGAGAGGGTGCGTACTTTATCGTAGCCACCACCATCGCGCCGTGAATCTCTTCGCTTTGACTGGTGTGTTTCTTTCCGTCACGTCTCGTACACGTCTGCTACAAGCTGTCTCTTCCCTGGCCGATCGAATGCGCTTGGGTTGGGCGGTCTGGCGCTTGCGCAGCTGCTAGCAAGCAAGAAGTCGTCGGCGCGTGAAGTCGTGGAATGCGGTGACACTTGGGGGATCACGGGCGCAAGCTGACTAGCAGGGCGTGACGTGACGGTCGGGCAACTGGCAGAGCTCGGGGGAGGTCGCAGCGGAAAACCAGAGCAACAGCGCAAGTTCGCTGGTCGGGCAGGATGTGACAGATCAGCAGCGGTGGAGACGAGGTGAGGTCAGATGGGATGGCACAAGTCTGCTCCTCCTCTCTGGCGAGTTCAAGCGAGTGAGAGTCTATTGGACGGCGGGGAAGATGGCGACGCTGCTTCTGCGGCGAAGACTTCAATCAATGTCGCACGACGATGAGAATAATATAGGGCGGACAGAGGCTTTACGACAAGGTCCTGTTGATCGGTCAGAATTCGACAGGTCTCGTTGCAAACTGTAACCGGATACTGCCGCCCAATGCATGTATGCACTCGTCGTGAGGCCCAGCCCAACCATGCGCGCTTCTCTCAATCAAGCCAGATGCATCACTACATTATAATGTATAAAGTGCAGCTGATGTCTTGAAACACAAGGCTATCACATCTGATCCATTACAAAGAGAGAGAGACTGATCACGAAAGAATATGTGCCACGGCGTGAGCTCAGGTTCCCAATCATCTAACGCCCCAAGGTAGCATATCAATCCTTGCGGCGACGTCGCTAAACGCCTCTATCCGTTCCAGCCCAGTACTTCCTTTCCTAGATCCCATTCCATCCTATGCAAGCTGCTCCCATCCGTAAAATAATCAAGTCATTCCTGTCGTCACTCATGCCTTAATCAACGCCAAACATGCAACATGCAACACGCAACATGCAACCTCTCCTATCAAAGGCCATGCGACAATACACACATCAGAGATCAAGATCTCCCCTTACTGCTGTCAAGAAGTCGACTCATCGAGCCTTGTAGAGACTCTGACGCTTCATCATCGCTTTCGTCATCAACATCGCCGTTGGTGCTGAGAAGCCTCGTGGTAGACGGACCGGCAGGAGGCTCCGATTCRGCCCTTGCTGTATCACCGCCAATCACAACACCCTTCACACCCTGGTCGATTTCGTCGAGACGATAGTCCGTCATCATCAGACTCAACACGATGCAGGGCAACGCGACGCACACAGCGACGCTTAGAATCTTCGTCATGGTCTCCTGGTATGCCTGGTTGATTGCAATACGAGTGGGACTGCCCATTGGAAACCCTCTCGATGCGAGTGTGATATTGCCGTAGATATCCGCCGCCTGATCTCTTGTTTCGGGCGGAAGATAAAGCGCGAGCTTCTTTGGGATATTGCTCGTCCAGATCGCACCCGAGATCGCGGAACCGACGGCACCTCCAATTTCCAGAAACGTCAGAAACAGAGCTGTGGCTGCAGCAACTTCTGAGTGGCTCGCGGAAGCCTGCACGCCAAGCTGTGCCGGGACGTGGGTCAAGCTTCCGCCGACTCCGAGGAATACCTGCGTCCCTACGATCACGGCAGGCGACGCATCTTCGGTACGGTAATGAATCATCAGCGCCAAGCCGATGACATACAGAATAGTGCCCGCCACCATGAAAGTCTTGTATCGCTTTGTGTATTTGATGGCGAACGAGACCAAGATGGATGTGACGGTGGACGTGAATGTGAAAGYTTGAACGATGCGGCCGGCCGATGTAAGAGGAAGATCCTGCACCACGAGCAGGTACGACTGAAAGTATGGGTATACCGAAAGGTAGAATGCCACTGAAACGTGTTAGCTCACTCTCGCTGCGGGAAGAATATCGTTACACTCACTGAAGTAGAAGAAGGATAGAGCAAGGCCACAGATGATGGTCCTGTTCTTCCAAAAGCTACGCGGGAAGAAGGCTCGCGGTGCCAGGAATTTGCTCTTTTCCCAGAATGGTATGGCTATCAGGCACGCCACTCCGACGATAAGCATCGAGATGAGGTTCGGATTTGTCCAGCCAGACTTGGAAGCCAGTGTCAAGGGAATCAGAATAAGCGTGAACGCCACGCAAATGAGGACCAGACCGAAGAAGTCCAGCTCAATCCAGATGGTCTTTACTATCTGCCACCAGGACTGTCCCTTGAAGGGCGATACGGGCATGATGCCACGAAACGCGGCCTTTCGCTGATTGATGAGCAGCGCGAGTGCCAGCGGCAGGAAAGCCACAGGCAGCACGATCGACCAAATCCCGTATCCCCATCTCCAATTCAGATTTTTCAATATCTTCTCGGCGAGGGCAGGCCCAATCCAGACGTTGACTAGGAATGGTGTAGTAGGGATGGTAGAGCAGAGTGCACGATTGACCAGGTCACTGGTGTCGGCGATGAATATCTGGATGAGAATCTGCAGTCCAGTCTGACCTGCAGAGTAGAAGATTTGTGCGGCGGCGTAGGTGTTGACGCTGGTCGATGCCGCTTGTTGAATGAATCCTATGATATAGAACAGCACAGAGACACCGAATGCCTCGAATCGTCCAAAAACATCTGCGATCTTTGACATCGGTGGTTTGGCAACGGACAACACAATCCCCTGCACGACCAGCACGGWCGAAACCAGTGAATGTGCCTTGAATGCACTCGTGGCGAAGATGGTAAGGTTGCCTGTCGTTTGACCTTCGAGCGATGTTGCATATGCCAGCATGGCGATGCCGAGGTAGGCAACGTAAAGACTGGTTTTTGACCATGTCGATGCGATGGCTTCGACTCGCTTCACTCCGGCCTGTGCGGATCCACGGCTGCTTTCAGACATGATAGATCTTCTGTCGTCTTCTAATAGCGGCTGGTAGTCACTGTGCGTCTGTTCCCGTTTGCTTGAGAGGGTGGTGGAACTCAAGTCCAGGTCAGCGGCCCTCTCGACGTCTGACCGAGCATCAGCTCTGCCCGTCCCATCGAGAGTGCCGTAAGTTGTCATGACGGTAGCATATAAGGTAGTGATGAAGAAGGAGTGCAATGAAGGGATCTAATCTTATCGGACGGGACAGAGCATACTTCTTAAAGTGGGCCGAATATTCGGAGCGCCTCTTGTCGATTGGTTTGTTCGATCCAGGATCTGTCAGGCGCGCGCTATGTATGCAGGCGGCAGGAACGGGAAGCGATGCAGGTTGCGTCCCGTGGGAGGCTGTGAGGCGTCGTTCTGCAAACGCAGGATCCGGCCTAATCTCCGCAAGGTACTGCAGTATGATGCAGCGTGCGGAATGTGCTCTGTACAAGGCGAATGGACTGTGCTGCGAGACCGGGGCGGCCAGCGGCCGAGCTGAGGACCCTGGGATGRGTCGGAGATCTGAAGCAAATTTAGGTAATGCTGGCGTGGGCGTGGCAGACGAGTGTGGGATGGCCAGATTTCTCGTGGATTTCCAGCCGCGCCTCCCACTGTTCCAGTAAAAACCGATGATCGAAGATTTGATGCGGCGTGGCAGTCCGGACTAGCCTGGTTGTTCTGCGCTGGCTGGATCAGATGCGTCACACCGCGTGAAGAAATATTCATCTGGCACCCGTTTGTTGGTTTTGTTGTCGGATGGTACGATGCCCGCAGGCGAACAGAAGAAAGAATGGTTCTATTCCTGACAATGTTTAACAACGGCTGGCGCGTGGGTGGTGGCTCCTGCCATGCCGTGCCGAGGCGATGTCACGTCAAGTCCCGGCGCATCAAGATCAGTGCGTCACGCGAGTATAAACGTGTGAAGACGCCGCTCACACGACGTCTCGTCACTGCGTGGTGACAAGGATGAAATCAAGGTTGCACAGTCTCACGACATCATCACAAAGATTATAAAACAGGCTGCCTACGTGGCGACCCAAGGCTGCGAACATCTGTTCTGTGCAAAGTCCGTCATGTAAGATTAAGCACGACTACCTTATCCAGTAGATCTCTCCCAAGGCTCCCGGTATGCAATGTCGAAACCTTCGAAGACCCTTCGCTCCGCTTCCTCCATCGTCTTCGCGCGGCCCGCCTCACCCGCCAGCCCTTTCCACTCAAAATAACCTTCAAGGTCGACGACCTCCCCGTTCGCTCTGTTCCTGACCCCCGAGCTGTCAAACTTCCAGCCATGCTCGTGCTTGGCAAAGCGCCTCAGATCTCTCTGGAAGGTGGTGGCTCCACTCCACCCTACCACTGCACAGCCGACGGTTCGCCAGGGACTGATGATAATGTCCACCCTTCGATGGATATTGGGATTCTTCGCGTTCGGATTTGCGGCTAGATCTTTGGTCTTTGTTGGCCACACGGGATCCTGCCACACGACCAATGCCTTGTCAAGCGTGTCGWAGCCGTGTCCGCCACCATCAGCTCGGAACGGTAGCGTTTGTTGGTCGCGTTTGGAGTTGTGCAACGAAACAATGAGTGTGTGAGTGATCCAATCTTCCTTTTCCAAACTTGCCACGATGTCTTCGACGAGATTTAGTGTCTGGCTTTCATCGGGATGGCTGAGAATGATATCGACGTCCCCGCTGGCTTCTTTGCCACGGCGATAACCTCCGACAATCATGGATTGTACGTTTCCGTCGCGGGCTTTGACTGCATGCTCGTAAATGACTCTGCCAATACTCTCCACCTCGGCTCGTGGTATGAGATCCAGAAACTCATCATAAAATTTCACACCAATCTTTTGAACCCTTGAGAGGGACTTMCAGCCGTATTCGATTATATCATCCATATCCCGCCAGCCTTTGTCAAAGTAAAACTCCCTGGCTGTGGTAACCCCAACGCCCCAGATGTTGTAGAACAGGTCCAGTATCTTCAGGTCTGCGTCTGCGTCAAGCTCCTCAACGGCTTGAACCTTTCCTGTGTTGGTCCACTCTATGAAAAGATTTGCGATTTTCGCATCGCACCCTGGTAAAGCCATGATTTCGCGAGGATTGCTGATCTTGTCCGTGTATGCAGCCAAGGCAGCTATTGAGGTGCTGTAGGCTCGCACACCAATCTCATCATTGGTTAGCAGTCGGCCATGTTTGATCCTCTTCAGCAGCGCGATGAATGAGTCGTTTGGATTTGTCTTCGGAGTGCATCTTTGACAGGCATACTTAATACCTGCCTTGACCCACTCTGGCATCTCAGGCAAATCGCTGGAGAACCCACCATCGTGTTCTGTAGTAGACTCTTGGAGTAGATGTGCATATTGGCTTTTGGTACCGTGGCCGGCCTCCCAGCTGGACGGGGTGGCAGAGGGAGTACTCAGTCCAAACTTGCGCTTCCCGAATCTATCGGATCCCGCTTTTGGCGAGTCTTCCTTTGCGCGCTGAAGGATATCACGGACAAGTTGCGGCTTTGATGATGGTGCGTCTGGTGGGCGATTCGCAGAACTGGGCGATGGAGTGCTGGTCGAGGCATGCCCGGACTGTTTGCCAACTTTTTGACCTTGATATGTGATGTAAAGATCGRGTGGCTGCAGACCGAGCTTTTTGGAGTCTTCGAACCAGCTGATGGAGACCACGGTCACGATAGTCTCTGCAATAGGTACCTGTGCTTGCAGGCCACCGCCCGAACACGATTCCCGGGGCGAGCCTTTTGCTATTTCCTTTGAAGACTCCTCCTCGCCATCGCTCTCGGATTCAGTAGCAGAGTCGTCAACAGTACTCCCTGACTGCGTAATCGGGCTCGCTTTGAGGGAGCCGTTCACAGTCCGCTTTTTCGCACTTGATTCAGCTCGAGGGGAATCGCTGTTAATGCTGGTTGAGGTCACTTCCTTTGTGAAAAGGCCTTTGGACCGAAGATCAAACGCGATTCTTCTCACCTTTGTCGCCTTGCTTATGATGATCTCGGCTTCATGGACATCGTACGTTAGGGCCGCTCCAGCGTGCGCCAGTTCTTCTTCGAGCTCATGAAGGYCCTCGGTCTCGAAAAACAAAGACGACACAAAGATTGGTGGTAGCGTGGCGAGATGCAGAGGAGATGAGGCTGTATCGGCGGTCATGATAACGCACGATCCATGTCGTTATATTTGGGTATTCTGCTCAGTGTGATTGTCAAAGGTAAGAGTTGTCCTATATCTCGTCAACGAATAGGTTACATGTCTGTGAGAATGTGGACTAGTGACGTCTAGACCACGAGTAAAGGGAGATGTCCATCGCAGCGGCCACAGGAGACGGATGCCGTAATTTGGACAGTCTTTGTTCCACCGCCTGTCAGAGCGCTGCGGTGGATGTCAACTCTGTTCACACAAAGGCGATACGTCGCCTGGGTCAAGGTCGTTGCGTGAAATGCCGAACAGATCGCCCGACAATTGCGATGTTGTGGTGCCATGTGGGAGATGATGACATGAGGTGAGCTTGCTCGAATCTGGACTTTCGGCTCTTCGTCCCTCACTTCCAACGCCTCATCGTCCATCACACGGCATTTCCCTAGACCATGCGTGGATGCTGAGACGATGTCGCCCGATAGAGGACATCTCCAACAATCGCACTGCCGCCGTCCAGCATGACGGCCTTTATCCCCCGCGCCGTCTTCCCAACCCTCGACTCGCTCCCGCGCTCCTACTATCTCGGCCATCATGCTGCAGGTCTCGCCAAGATGCGCACGATGCTGTCCCAGATCGATCTCATCGTCGAATGCCGCGACTATCGCATACCGTTGACATCGCGCAATCCGATGTTCGAGGACAGTTTGGCGGGACGAGAGCGAATGGTGGTTTATACGAAGAAGGATCTGGGCAGCAATCGCTCCGCAGAAGATGTCAAGGTACATGGCGAATGTCGGGATGGGTTGKCAACTGTCGCTGATGTAAAACTATCTATGTAGAGGCACAATCTCATTCGCAAATGGCACGAACCGTCACAAGTCATCTTTTCCGACCACAAGAGCCAAAAAGACATACGGCGCGTGCTTGACTTGATCAAAGATGGGAGTAGAACAAGAGGAGGTTTGACCGGCTCTCATTTGATGGTCGTGGGCATGCCGAATGTCGGCAAGTCTTCCCTTCTCAACGCCCTGCGAAGGGAAGGTGTGGGTAAAGGAAAGGCGGCTTATACCGGCGCGCAGCCTGGTATCACTCGCAAGATCGGGACCGGAGTCAAGATTGTGGAGGCAGACGAAGGTGGCACTGGGAGCGTCTACCTACTCGATACACCGGGAGTCTTCATGCCGTACGTGCCCGACGCCGACGCCATGCTGAAGTTGGCGCTCTGCGGTAGTGTCAAGGACACGATCATCCCGCCCTTCAACCTGGCGGACTACCTTCTATTCCACATCAATCTACATGATCCGAACGTGTATTCCGAGTATTCAAAGCCAACCAACGATGCCATGGAGCTGCTCGATGCGGTTGCGAAGAAAACTGGTCGGTTACAAAAAGGAGGAGTGCCGGATCTCGAGGGATCAGCGTTGTGGATGATTCAACGGTGGCGCAACGGACAGCTGGGAACCTTCACGCTCGATGAGGTCACCGAGGAGTCATTGGAACTGGATAGAATGGGCGATCCAACAAGGACGAGTCTGAGCCAGGCGAGAAAGGCTGGCAAGGAAGCCTCTCGCGCCAGACAGAAGGCCCGGAGATCGAGCGCGGAGTGAGAGAATGGAAGCTTAACTATTCCCACCGAATTTCCTTGAGATTGAGCAACCTATCTCGCCAAGTCAACTCAGTTGGGGCTGCCCCAGGTTGGAGCAAACTAGAGATCGCGAGCTGCGATCGTCTTCCGATGCGCCATCTCCGTTTAAGACGTTCTGATCTCAGCCGACTCCATCTCCATCTCCATCTCCACGTCATACTCAGGCTTCCACTCAGACCTCACAGCCAAGAGCATCTGCCAGCGAGTCTCGAGAGACATCCGTTGCAGCCTGGTCAGCTGCTTTCCGAACGTGGTATAGAGACTCTTGATATCCTGGCAAAATTCGGATGCCTCCTTGTACTCGAAATTGTCAAGCTTGTCATAAATGATGATGAATTGCTTCCGACAAGCTTTGACGTAGTTGCCGCCACCAGATGCGGCCTCGTTCTGAGGGTCTGCAAGCTCCTGAAGAACGTAACGACACCACTCCATTGCTTGACCGTGTTGTGTCTTACTCTCTGCCTCGTCTTCTGTCTCGGCTCGTTGCCTTTCAGTAAGGCTGCGCATCTCAGCTTCCCAAACCTAATGTTTGCGGGTCTCGGTCAGCAMATTTCTGGTCGTACGGGAATTGATCAAGAGTTGCATACCGCTTTCCACGCACTACCGGGCTCCAAGCCTCCCAGTCTGTTGATCTCGGTGTTGAGCTTCGTATGCTGCTCTGTCATCTCCAGCTCATGTCGGTACTTCGTTTCGGGATCCATGCTGGAGTATGACCAGATAGTGCTGCGCGTAATGACAGATATAACACAGCAGGTTGCAGAAAAGAGGATGTCCAGGGAGCTGGAGGTGCTTCTTCCGGACAATGGAGATTTTTTCCAAAAGAAGGCTCCAGCCAGCTCTTCACCGATGAGATGTGAATTCGGAGCGCTTCCAGTGAATGAGCACTTTTGGTACTCAACGGCCTTCCACGGAACTTTGTAGAACAGTCCCATTCTGAGCTTCCTCCCAACTAGGCGGCATTTCCTGGATACCACCCGAGCCTGCAATCGCTTCTTCGTAAGCAGGAGGCGCGTCATCGTTAGCAACCTCATTCTCTACAGAATGATCCAAACCAGCCGCAATACTTGGTCCATCATCAACAGGCGGATGAACGACAACCTTGAAGTCCCGCTTGCGACTGACAACTTGGCCTGCCACAAGCAATTGTAGCGCAATTCGYAGCGTGTAGGACCGCTGGATGTTGGCRTGAGCGAAAGAGGAAGGAATCTCAGCCAGAACACCTGCGCTGACAAGCTTGCGATGCTCGCGACCGTTTTGGAATGGGCCAGCAGGCACAACAGCGWTGTGTCTTCGCTCCATGATGACCTCGTGGTTGGCGCTGCTCTTGCCCGTAGCGGTGTCTTTGCCGTACGTATGAGCAATCAGCGTGATGATGCTGGAGTCCAGTGTGATTGGAGGGCTGACCAGCATGAGCCCGTCATCCCGCCTTTCATTGGTGTGTAGATAGAAGGTTATCTGCTGTCCTGCRAAGATGTGCTTTGGGACTTGAGAAATTCCCAGATCGAACATGTACTTTGGAGGTATGGTTGGGTTGAGGAATGCCTTGGTCTTGCTCCTGAATCCCCGAGGCCTCGCATGTTCTGGCACAAGGCTGTCGTCCTGTAAGCAAAGTTAGTCCTTCTTTGCATTGAAGAATGAGCAAGGGAATAGGTTTCGAAAAAGAGAGCGATGCAAGTATCCGCAGTAACACATCTTTGACCTTTGACAACGGTGAAAGCGATGATGAAATCTTTCAATGAAGCAGCTGCCTTGACTGAAAGAACGTCTACTTACTTGAGCGTCCATCCTCAATTCAACATTTTCATCCGAGGAGAAAGCCGTCAATAGAGCCGGGGGGACTTTTGGCTGCTGATAGAGTAACTCGACACCCTCGGAGTGATTGACCACCTTGACATCGATACCTGGCACCTTGATGCTCGCTGCAAGCGAGTAGCACACATCGACACTCCACGCAGTTCCAGAACCAGGTCCCATGAGGTTTGAATCATTCTTGTTAAGTGTCGATGAGAGGGTCGGAGGCAACTCCTCAACGGCAACACCAGTAACATGTCGTCTGTACTCCACCGATCCGTCTGCACCTTGCCTCATAGTGAGCGCAACGCTTTCGCGCGGATCCGTCGTCTCGGGGAATGCCATGGCGAAATGGAACTTGTACTCGGTATCAGGACCTGCACGAAATGAGCCCTGGTGCAGAGTGGCCGTCTGGGAGAAAAGCTTGATGATATCCGGAAAGTATTGTCGTGAATAGCAAGCCTTGATTGTTCCCTGAAATATGACTGATAGGTCGAGTGGCCCATTCAGCTCAACTCTGTGGCTTCTGACTTTTGGAAGGAATTGCAGCGCAACGTGACCGGTCACTACTGATTCGCTTCCGTAGTGTACGCTGTTGGGATTGTCCAAGACCGTTTTTACGCGAAGAATGCCGAGACCGAACTGCCCAGATGCCATGTTGTTGAGACTTAAGAGTTCAATACGAGTAGTGATATTGAGAATTGGTCTCTCGATTACAGGTACCGAATCAAGTCATCGAAGGTGTATGAGCATGAAGCGACTATCGTGAAGAGAAAGATAAGACTCGGAGCTCGCGGCTGTTCCTGAGCTCCTGAGCGATAATTCTGGCTGGCCGTAACGATCTTTGCAGAGTTGGCCTGGTGGCATCGGCTGATTTTATAGCGTTTACCAGGAAGGTTTCAAAGGATCAGGCTTGACAGAATAGCTTCGACTTACTTCTGACGGTGGTGGGCAACTTCGACTAGCGTGGAAGGCGCAGCCAAGGTAAGGAAAGTTTTTTATGCTTGGCAACCGCCCTGCTGTTGGGCTTTCTCTCACTCACTTTCAGCGCTACTTTACTTGTGAGGCTCTACTGTAAATAACAAGTGAGCAAGAAGATCGTGATAGGAAAAACGCACGGATCTGGTTCCGAAACTTCCCGCTAGCGGACCACGGACGTGAGTGAATCCTTCCGGCACACCACAGTCGTCGCGGCTTTTTGTGGACAGATCGAGGCGACAAGATATACCACGGCAATCGAACATATGACCATCAACGAAATCTCGCCGCCATTATTTGCATGGAACTTAGCGGTTCGTTGGCTCGTGAGAGGCATACTTGACGCCCATTCGACGCAGCTTGGAGTTACAAGCCCATCGAGAAAAGCCCCGTGATTGACAGGCCGTCAAATGAGTCGTAGATATACCTCCGGCTCATGAACACAAGCCACGATTCTATCGATGGATTGTCCTCCGTCGCGTCTCATCGATCCAATTACAAGGCCTGGGAATGGCCTAGTGGGCAAGGTTTCCTGACTTCACGTCGCACTGACTACACCATGACAGATACTTGGAAAGGACGAGAGGTAGTGCATAAATTGAGTGACGGCGGCCTCTCCATGACCCAACAACATTGATCATTCCCCACCAAGTGATGCTTTGCTGATATCCCCAAGGCCAACATCATCACCATCACCATCACCACTCACAATGGCAATCCTCTCCAAAGCACTCCTCTTGAGCAGCCTTCTCTGGTACCAACAAGTATACGCCATCCCCGCGAGAGTGGCGGAACGATCAACCTCTTTCTCCATGCTCATCTACGCTAAAAGTGGCTGCAAATCCGAAAATCTTCTGGTCGGCCAGTCCGTAAACCACAGCCAGGAGCCTTCTTTACTCTCAGCTTGCTTCCCTGTTTCCAATGCAGGGAGTATCAAGATGACGGTGGAGGGAAATTGCGAGGTCACCCTTCGTTCGGGACAGGATTGTGGAGGAGAATCTTGGGTTTACGAGGTCGGACAGTGCGTCAGTCAGCTTTTCGCTGGAGTTTTTATTGCTTGCAACTGAGTTGGTTTTTTTGAAGCAGTGGTTTGGGATTGGGTATGGACACTGGGTGATTGCTTGAACATGGACAGATGGAGCTTTGTGGTAGCATGCAAGTGAATGCAGCCTTTTGTGAGCGTTTGTATCATAATGAAAATCATAGCGATGGAAGATGTATACTGCCACTTGAGATCATGTGTGTTTTCCAACGTACCAATGTCAAGTACGATTGTTTCAAATCGAGTGTTGCGGTGGACACAACAAAAAGGAAAGGAGTGGAAAAGTGCATTTATTAATAATAGGAAGAAGTGCCCAAGCATTCGGCATAGAGGCTGCAAATGACCACCACATTGCGCAAGTTTACATCATTCACCACGGTCCATCCTTCCACGGTCATTTTCGATGTTCTGATCCTCTAGGGAAGTCCTCCTCGCCATCTCACTTATAGGAACCGCCCTTTTGACGCCTTTCCCCCGACCCTTTGCTTGCCAACTTAGCGGCTTGCTCTTCACGACATGATCGAAGCCACTCATCCCTATGAGAAGCCCAGCGCCGTTCTTCATTGTAGCGCGCGAGGGTCTTTTCTTCCCAGTTGGCGCGGCGACCAGATCGCCGACATCGATCGAGCCTTTGCTGCGCTTGTGTTCCTTGCCAGTCTTGGGCAGTTTTGTCGACGGATCAGTKGAGGGAGCCCGTTTCCTCTTCTTGGTCGTTTTCTTCGAGGGTTTGATTGGAGCCTCCTTGGAATGCGAAGGCATAGCCGGCGCAGTCTTCTTCACAGCAGGCGGTAGTGATGTGGGAAATTCAATTTGGCTACTGGAGGAGCCAAGGACCATACCCTCGACCACGGCCACCGAAGGCTTCTTCGGGCGTCTCTTATCGCTGATGAACAGGCCAGTACCGTTGGAGGTAGCAAATGACAGCTCTGAAGTGTCTGTGGCCGTGTGGGGTTGCTTGTCGGCAGAAGTGATGGGTATGGCCTTTCGGGCGTCAGTATTCGACACGTCTGGCGACCTGAGAATCCTCTTACCCAACAGAGGACTGCCCGGGGGACTTCGAAATCGCTTTTGGCTGACTGGTTCCTGTACCTCCACAGCGTCAGGTACGAATCCAACATACGTGATCCGGTCGTTGTCCTCTCCTCCATCTCGTTGATCAAGGTCCATTGTCCCTCGCGACTCGATCGCGATGTCGGACGACGTTTGCCGCTTCCTTCTTGAAGAATTTCTCACATTTGGAGCATCTGGCCTGCTAGGAGGCGTCTTCTTCTGGCGAGGAGCCACCGTTGGCACCGCTTGAGCGATTTCATCTGGTTTCGGAGTCGGCGGACGGTAGACTGCGATGTTGCTCCCGGTGGACGCGACCGAGAGTGGTCTCAGAATCGGTTCCTCAGGCTCTTCTTCTCCCACACTGTCTTCGACATCATCTTCTACCTCCACCACCACCTTGCTCCTCGAGACCCTATCGATCGCATCTTCGGGATTGAATATTCTCGAAATATGACCCGGCGTGTATTGTAGACCCTCTCGTGGACGAATCTTCTTGCGTTTCACGGCAGGCCTTTTCTGTTCAACATCTGCAAACACAATTTTTTGTGGAGGACTCACTAGGGGCGTTTGACCTCTACCGAGTGGAGCCTCATCGCTAGTCTGCTTGTCGCTTGCTCGGACTGTCATGTCCCGCAATGCTGGTGTTTTCGAGTCAGCTCGGAAACTCCACGATGGGGAAAATAGAGTGCTCAAATGCAGACTTACGCAGTGGTTCCAGAAATCTCTCGATTTCGACCAACGGACTCCCATTCAGCTCCACAATATCCAAACTCCACAATCGACCCAATTCCTTCCTTCTTGCTGAAACAATTTGAAGATTGGCGTCCACCACGCTTCCCTCCCACAACTTGTTGACTCCACCATTGGAAGGCTCAAGCTCAGCACCAACGCGGGCGTGAAGCACCGTCTGACATGATAGCACGTCGCGTTCTACAACGTCGAGCGACCGCATGGCCTCCATGAGGCGTTCACGGATGTCCATGAAGGAGCCTGGCATTGTCGATGGATGGATAACAGTGGTGTCTACCGCAGGTGTCGAATGCCGAATGTGACTGTGACGAAGTGTTGGAGAGAGATGTCGTGTTTGTTGTGTGGCTGTGTCGCCGACTGTTGAGGCAGGCGCATGACCTCGTTGAAGCAAAGTTGAAGCCAGCAAGCGGTCAGCGACTTGAACTGGCAAATGACAGCCTTGCTGCTGCTACTACTGTTACCTGTCCGGTGACAAGAGGTTCGATTGTACTGGGAAATGTTTCAAAAAGCATAGACTTTCCTCGAAGTGTCCAAGAACTGCCCGTGATGTACCAGATGAAAGCCGGAGTTCGTGTGACGTGCTCAAAGGCACATCTTCCAGCCATTTCGCACGCGGCGGTCTGACACATGAATATCGTAGCTTGCTTCTGCTGTCGCCAGCTGGACCACAGCATCTTGAAGGTATGCGAGCAGGGGACACGACCCTGCACGCGAGAAGCACCTATGGTAGCCTGGGACTTGCTGTTCTGCTCACCATCACCATCACCATCGCAGTGGCTCGGCTTCTGTCTAGTTTATCACTCTTGGTTGGGGTGCTTGGACGTGTCGCTGCCTTTCATGGTCATGTTATGCACAGTCCACTCACATAGCTATAGCCGTGCATGAATGTTTCGTCTCATTCTTGTATAGATCCGCCGTTCACATACCAGGGCATCACTGATGTTGCATGGCATCTATACATGTATCGGCGAGTCGGTTAGAAAGTCTACCAGTTGAAGAGAAGAGTGTCTTGATAAAATAGGTCGGTGTCGTTATTGTCGATGGAGGGAAGGCGAGCGAAGTCCAAGTTCTTCCGATTCCTTCCAAAAGCTCGGCAAAAGTGGAGCCGAAACACAGACCCCTTTGTTCTTCTCTTCACTCCATCATCTCCGCCTCCCATATCAACGACACCATCACACGTTTGTCTGATGTGTCGTGTTTGATGTCATCACAGCTCTCAAAAGGCCCACCATGATCTGGCGAACGGCGTCTCTGCAAGCCCTTCTTGCCTGCGTGTATCTGCGTTACACCAGCGGGATTGTACATCGTCTCCATGCATTCTTAGCATAGAGCTCCTGTGCAACCCGCCGCTGGCCATCAAAATGCCTCAGAGTCGCAGCTTTTCTGATGCTGGACCTCCGGGGATCTCAATCAGTGAACAAGGCTCTTGGGAGCTTGGTGGGGATTTCTGGCCAGCCAAACGTAGCGGTTTGTTGAGAGAAGCGGCCGAAAAAGCACTCCGCTTGCTTGGTGTTGTTCTTCTCAGGGTGCCGTATTTACACCTGACATGTCGAGCTTTATCGCCTTCGTGGCAAACGAGATCAGCGCGTCTTGACCTACCCGCCGTCCCGCGATGCAGGCTGCCGTGGCTTCAAACAGCGACCTGGAATATTGTAGGTAGGTAGCTTGCTAAGATTCAGATCGGCTTTTTTGAATCTGTGATTATCGGCTCCTCTCTTTGCGTTGCATCATCTTCCCAGACTTCTCGCAAAATCGAACACAGAACCAGGTCTCGTTTCCTGACCACTCTCCCGAGATGCCGGGTCTACGCTTTACTACAGAGGCCACGACGAAAGATGGCGAATCTACGCCGAGCTGCATCCCCCCTCTGCCGGCTGGCGACGCTGCCACTCCCAGAGGTATGCAAGAGGCTTTTTGGTCCAATACATATGAGCATTAACCGACTGTGCTAGACTCCTCCGCGCTCATAGAGCAGATCTTGACTTCACGAAAAGGTCTCGGCATGGCCGCCGCCAAAGACATCAAGCGTGGCACCCGCATCATCAGCGAGGAGCCTCTTCTGATCATCAACACCAACAAGGAAGTCGACAAGCACCTCCTCCAGGCGTTCTTCCGGCTCTCGCCCACGCAGCATGATCAACTCGCCGAGCTGTCCGATTGCAAGCAGAACAAGTGTCCGAAAGCCCTCACCGTCTTCATCAATGAGCTGGAGAAGCATCATCAATACAGCGGTAGATATCTCACAGCCGCAGCGCAGGACTTTGCAAAGATGCACACCAGTAAGACAGCTCTAATCAAATACTGTTGTTACTCCCACAGATCTCTAACACCTGCAGTATTCTACGCCAACGCAGTCATGTTGGGACCCGATGCTCAATTCGGCATCGGTATCTCTCCTACCTACAGCCGCCTGAATCATTCCTGCACGCCCAATGTCCAGCACAGCTACAATGCTACCCTAGGGAGGGAAGTAGTCCATGCCATCAAAGACATTCCCAAAGGCGAAGAACTTGTGACAGCGTACGTGTCGCTCCAGCGACCAACGTCGTTGCGAGTCGACGAAGTCGTGAAGAAATGGGGTTTCGAGTGTAAATGCGAGACCTGCTGTGGAGCAGATCAGCTGGCAAGCGAGCGCCGACGTCAGAGATTGTATGAGATTGATCAAGGATTCGCATTTCTCAAGGAGCCTGTTGATCACAGAATCTATGCGACAGCGTCTTTGCATGGTATGATTCCCAAGACGGACGGAGTGGCTTTGCGTTGGGCTGAGGAGAGTGTTGAGCTGCTCAAGATTGAGGGACTGGTGGGGATGGATATGGCTAAAGCGTGAGCTGTCCAAGACTGCAGTACCACTTTGGACGACACTGACATTCTTACAGGTACCGCGAGTGTTCAAACTATAGCCTCCGCGAGGGTCAATTGGAGAAAGCCACGGCATATGCGCGAAAGGAGCTTGACATCCAAATTACGTGTTTGGGGGAAGACACTGCATACTTGGCGCCTGCCGATGATGCCAGAGTATGGATCAAGCATATCGAGGACATGTCCGGAGTTGAAAAGGTTCGCTTGCGCATGAATGAGAAGCGAGTGCAGAAGGAGCTGAAGAAAGTGGAGAAGAAGGCAGCAAAGAGAGCCGGGAAGCGGTAGATGGAGGCTGTTCAGATGCTGTTTCATGCAAGATACGCGGATCAAGTCACTGGGAAGAGACGGGCGACACGCAAAGGAGCAAGAATGTCGATAGCTGTTAGACCTAGCAAGATTTCGGAGCAAATAGAAGCAGGTCAGATGGGATGTAATTATGCGTGCCAGCCGAGATAAGATCTGCTAAGTCTTCGCCTTCGTAGGACTTTGAAAAGGCAAGGTCGGCCTCCTCCTGGCCTGGCTCAATGTCCCATGCTCGCGGCTCACGCTCCTGGTGAGACTCTTCAGATCTTTGGTATTGTTTGCGTCTGGCAAGCTCTGGCTGGATGTCCACGTTTTCTCAGCTTCACGACGAACAATGTTGAGGCTCAGGCCGAGATTCGTCATGTAGTCTGTCTTGCGTTGCGGGGAGGTGTCGGGCACGGTTCGTGAGCTACCTAGAACATGGGTCTCCGCTTCTCTACGCCTTTGTGCGAAGAAGTGGCTCGCTGCAGCATCCTGATGTTTGCTCATTCGGCGTGGCGGTGATCTTGACTCCTGCGGCGGATGATGCAATTGGCTGGAAGCGCTTTCAAAGTACCTTGAATTCGTGTCCTCCAGAGTGACAGCAGTTTTACGCCTGCGAGTGACGATCTCGTAATCGAGGACTTCCTCAGCATCTGCACGATCCTCGCCTGACTCTTCGTGGAGATCTGGGCGTGAATGCTGCCGTAGATTCAGACCGTGATCTGCGCGCTTTCCCCGCAGCGCGGCTGACGGTCCAACGAAGTGCTGTGACTCCAAAGCGATGTTACTGTTTCGTCGGGTATTGGCAACCGTGTCCTGAGGTCTTGTTCCAGGTCTGTTGTGTGGAATGGGTGTGCTGGATCGGAGAATTGAACGAGGACGGCGGGTAGGGCTGGCAGCGGCAACTCTCTCCATGCGCCGATCATCGTACGTATAGTTGTGCTCCCGTGCATCATGTTCGGGCAACGACATGCCCGTCTCATCAACAGGAGGGCTGTCAATGATCATCTCATTGACCTCCATCAGCCTCTGTGTTCGGAGCGAATGTCCAGCATAGCCAGGTGTCACCGATTTGCGAAAGTCAAGAGTAACGCCAGCATGCCGAGAATCCTCAAGACTGAAAGGCGTAACAGCTGGTCTAAGCCTTTCACCAGCCGAGAATAGTGGCCTTGCGCGCTGAAAGCTGGTTGGTGTGGCTGATCTCGCTGCTGCCGCACCAGAGCGTAGGCGAGCTGTCTCCTTATCAGGCCGTTCATGGTGTTCCTCTCCAGAGAGCATTTCCGTTTTCCCAGCACCGCTATCGCTATCGTCCTCGTCATCTTCATCTTCCTGTTCGTCTTCTTCTTGCTCGCTCTCATCAGATGATATTTCAAATACTCTCCTCGGAGCTGATACAGATGACAGTTCAGCTCTGGTTGTTTCGTCAAAGAAACTGTCACTGAACGTGACCCGTCGATCGCTCTTGCTCTCCTTCGAGTCGTCCAGCTGAGCGAATGTCTGCACGGCTTTGATGCCTTCGTCCGGGAAAGATTGCCCGTCTGGCGGTTCGACTTTAAACTCGTCACCGCCCTCCTCAAACTTCACTTCTGGTAGAGGCCCATGCTGTAGCTGCAGCGTTCCTAGTCCGCGCAACGGTGTGGTCCCATTTCTGCGTTGCTTCTTTACCTGACACGGACGAATCTTGAGCTCCGAAGCGTCAAAACCATCGCCAAGAACCCTGTCGACCTTCCCCAACTTAAGTTTCTGGTCATCGGCCTTCTTGCGCAAGGCGAAGATCGACTTGTGGGAGAATGTCGAGGTCTTCAATCGCTTCCGGATAGAGGTCAGGGGCTTCTCCTTCGAAAGAGACTTACCATTCGTTTGAGCAGCCACTGGCTTCTGGGCAGGACTTAAACTATCTGCGATCGGATYTTGCTTTTGTATGCCAGCGAAGCTACTGTCCGGATCACGAAAATGGTCCTGTTGCTCCGGTGGAAAAGGAACTAGAAGAAGTTCATCAACCGGAAGTCGTCTGATTGGCGTGGCGATCTTGCGTGGAGGGACTTTTGGCTCGGGCGAGTCTGGCTGGACGATTCGACGTCTAGCATTGACTCTTGAAAGGGCAGGCTTTGGTAGCCCAACAGGCTCCGCTGTGACAGTAGTTACGGCTGCGGTGCCCGCTTGTAGTCTTCTAGGAAAATTCTCCTCCGTGGCGGTTTTTGACTKAACATCTTGATTCAAATCAAAATGATGCCGAGGATTGCAGACGAGTCTATTGCTTGCATTTCTGAATCCTCTCTTCCCGGACGGTGAAGATGTCCGAGGTGGCACAGGTTCGATCCTGTGCCCAAGGCTGGTCCTACTGCTTGGGGATGCCGATGCAGGGCTGACATTGTTTCCACCGGTACCGGTGTTTCCGTAAACTGCTTCCAGCTCGCCTTCAGAAAGCGGCGAATCATCAGGTTCAGGCATTTTCACCGCTGGTCTACGACGCTGCGGCGCTGGAGTTTCGTACTTTGGGGTGGCCAGTGGAACATCGTATGGATCGGGTCTCATGAAATGCGTTCCTCGCAGTAGCAGTGGCCTGTTTGGCTTACCATRGGTGATGGTCGGCCGGGCTTGGAGATCGATTGACGGGTTACGCTCAGCAATGCGCCTGGAGGGGGACTGCGTGGCACTCCCACACCCATACACCATGGTGTAGCGAGATCTGCGATCAAGTCGTTGACGAGATCGAACAATCCAATCTTGATTTTTCAAAGTCCAAGGTGTACATGTAGCCGAAACAACGTTCTAGGCTGCCAAGTGTGCTGAAATGTCAAGAGCGAAAAAGGAAGGAACACATGGTAAATGGAAAGAGCTATCTTGCGCAAGTGCCATATCTTGGTATTGGAACGGTCGCTGGAGAGAATGAAGGACCCTTCACGTGAGCAGTTCTGTTCGCCTGTTGGTCTACTCACATGTCCGCTGCTCACAAGATCTACATACGTCTGATCTGCGTTTCGCCCTTGTACTTCTCGAGTCCTCCATTCAGGTGCTCCCACCACTCGAACAACATGCTCTGGCAAATGAGTTTGAACCACGGAGTGAATTTGAGCGTGTCGTCCTTGAACATCTCTTTCAACTCATCCGCGGACACATACTTCGTTGCCTGCACTTCGTTGGGGTTGATATCCAGGTCCACATTTGCCTTGATGAACAGTATGTAATCAATCTCGTGCTCTCCCCACTTGCCGTCACTTGGCGCGAGATAGTGTATCCGGGTGAGGAAGTCAAACTTCTCCACGGGAACCTGCTCCTTCTTGATGCCCAGCTCATGATCCAGCTTTCGTTGCGCTGCCCGCTTCACACCTGCGACGGCAGCCTCAAGAGTAGCGCCAGTTTCACCCGGAATGCCCAATGGGTGTGAGCAGCAGGTATTGGTCCATAGATCGGGGAATGTAATCTTTTCGGAAGCTCTTTGTTGGAGAAGTAATCGGTCTTGGGAGTCGAAGAGGAAGACGGAGAATGCGCGGTGCAGGAGGCCTTTGTTGATGTTGTCCATGAGATGGCACACCTTTTTACTGGCGCTTCCAATCGGCGCGTCGTCCTGATCCAACACAATGCACACTTCGTCCATTAAGCGAATCTGCTCCTCATCGTAGCCAGCAAGATCCTGATCCTGAGTAGCAGAGCGGGTCTGAGTCGCGAGCTGTGTGTTGATTTCGGGAAAGAGGCGGAGGATATTTTCCGTGTAGGAAGGCTGCGCCTCCGTCTCCGTCAGGGTCATCGTTGAGCTCATGCTGACGAGAAAGCTGGTGACTCGCGTGCAGGATATGTATGTTTTGTTATCTTTTTCAAGAAGCCGAAGGTTAAGGCATGAATTGCTGGTGGGGCGGTCCCCTGAAGTGGTGCGATACATTGGAACAATCAAGGCTTTCCCCAATACGGCCAGCTTTCAGTTATCATGATCTTCGGAAGACGGCCTAGCATTTCAGTCGCGTCTGCGCGTCGCGCCCGCGTTGCGTTGCTGCACCAAGAACTCTGTTTCTCTTCTCCGCGCCCCTCATACACACCCACCGCATCGCCATCCTCTCCACCCTCCCACCCCCCACTTCCACGCACGCCGCCAAAATGTCATCGATTGGGGACCAAATGATGAGATCGGACGATGGAGCCGAAGAGCCTCGCAGCGATGGTCGCAGAAGACAGGCTCGCTCGTCGTCTCGCCCACGGGGTCCTCCATCGGTCAGCACCCCAGGCATGCACAGCGACATGGATGCTTTCGCCGACGATGAGGTTGTCGGACGGCGAGGTCTGCGACGATTGCTGCCTGGTGCGCAGGACGTACCGCGGGTCGTCGACACCACGGCAGAAACTTTGGGCATTCAGTTTGAGCGTTTCCTGGAAAAGTACGTCGCAGTAAGACGCTTGCTCTTCAAGGGCCGGACTAACAACATGCAGCTTCACCGAAGATCCTACGCCCTCGGCAGGTCCAGCATCCAGTGCAGTGTTATCCAATAAATACTATATTGCGCAAATACACGGCCTTTGCCAGTTCAATCYCTCCACACTCTATCTCGACTACACCCATCTTATGGACTTTGAGCGTGGCATCCTCGCCAATGCCATTCAAGACGACTTCTACCGTTTCCAGCCCTACATGCTGCGTGCTCTCAACAACCTCATCGCGAAATACGAGCCGGGCTACTATCGTGCGCATCGGCAGCCTGGCTCAACAACCGCCCGAACAGACACCTCGCTCGCCACACAGAGCCTCAGCGAAGAGCAAGACGTTCATCAAAAAACACCAAATCAACAGACCGACAAGATCTTCACGATTGCTATTTACAACCTACCTTTGGTCTCGCGAGTACGCCAGCTTCGGACACAGCAGATTGGGAAACTGGTCTCAATATCTGGGACCGTAACGAGAACTTCAGAAGTGCGACCCGAATTGCATCTAGCCACATTCACCTGCGAGGCCTGCAACAGCGTTATCCCAGATGTGGAGCAAATTTTCAAGTACTCGGAACCTACGCAATGTCCAAATGTCACATGCATGAACAGGCAGGGGTGGAGATTGAACATCCGAGAGAGCACATTCATCGATTGGCAAAAGGTGCGAATTCAGGAGAACAGCTCCGAGATTCCCACTGGCAGCATGCCCCGAACGATGGATGTCATTCTACGTGGCGAAATGGTAGAACGAGCGAAGGCAGGTGAGAAGTGTATTTTTACCGGGACTTTGATTGTTGTCCCAGACATTAGTCAGTTCCGCGTACCAGGTGTACGGCCGCAGGCTGTGCGTGACAATCAAGGACCGCGTGGCGGAGACGTGGGTGRCAGTGGAGTCAGTGGGCTGAAAGCGCTCGGCGTTCGAGACTTGACGTACCGGATGGCATTCCTCGCGAACATGGTAACACCGGACACCTCGACCCAAGGCAAACGTGCGGATCAGAATCTCAAAGGCCAAGCTGGCAACATCTTGCAGTCTTTGGGTCAGAACGTGGATATCAGCGATGATACCGGTGAGAAAGCACAGCAGGAGTATCTCGACACACTCACACCGGCCGAGATTGACGAACTTCGAAGAATGGTCCAGTCTGACAACATTTACATGCGTCTGGTGGACTCTCTCGCACCCATGGTGTACGGACATACCGTAGTGAAGAAGGGTCTCCTCCTACAGTTGATGGGCGGTGTCAGCAAGGTGACCCCAGAAGGCATGGCTCTTCGTGGAGATCTCAACATCTGTATTGTGGGAGATCCCAGTACAAGCAAGTCGCAATTCTTGAAGTACATTTGCTCGTTCATTCCGCGAGCTGTGTATACCTCTGGAAAGGCCTCTTCTGCAGCAGGTCTGACTGCTGCGGTGGTAAAGGACGAGGAAACGGGAGAGTTCACCATCGAAGCTGGAGCATTGATGTTAGCTGACAACGGAATCTGTGCGATTGACGAGTTCGACAAGATGGACCTTGCGGACCAGGTCGCGATCCACGAAGCCATGGAGCAGCAGACGATTTCAATTGCGAAAGCTGGAATCCAAGCTACACTAAACGCACGTACTAGCATTCTCGCTGCCGCGAACCCCGTAGGAGGTCGCTACAACCGGAAGACGACACTCCGAGCGAACATCAATATGAGCGCCCCCATCATGTCTCGTTTTGATTTGTTCTTCGTCGTGCTCGATGAGTGTAACGAACAGGTTGACGAGCATCTTGCAAAACACATTGTCGGCCTTCATCAGCTGAAGGATGATGCCATTGAGCCAGAGTTCAGCACCGAACAGCTACAACGTTACATCCGCTTTGCTCGACTCTTCCAGCCTACATTCACTGACGAAGCCAAGACTTTCCTGGTGCAAAAGTACAAGGAGCTCCGTGCAGACGACTCGCAGGGTGGTATTGGACGCAACTCCTACCGCATTACAGTTCGTCAGCTTGAGTCTCTTATCAGATTGAGCGAAGCGATTGCCAAAGCCAACTGCCTGGACACTGTAACTCCAATGATGGTCGACGAAGCCTTCAAGTTGTTGCAGCAGAGCATCATTAGCGTCGAGAAGGACGATGTCGAGTTTGAAGATGAAGAGGACGCTGCTCTTGCCGGTGCTGATCAAGATGGCGAGGACCAGATGGATGTTGGCGAGGATGAGCCCGAGGCCGGTACGCCTGCTGCATCAACACGTGCTTCGCAGACACCCGCTCCAGCTACCAGACCCAAGACACAGATCAAGTACGATGACTACATCAAGATCCACAACATGCTTCTACGTAGAGTCAACGACGATCAGAATGCTGCCGAGGATGGTGTTGAAGAGGAGGATCTTTTGGTGTGGTATCTTGAGCAGAAAGAGGACGAGCTGAGGAGCCAGGAAGACATGGAGAACCAGAGGAAGATGGCAAGAAAGGTGTTGAAGCGTATGGTGAAGGTGAGTATTCAAATTTTCGGTCCAACCCGATTGGTGCTAACCCGTGATAACAGGACAACGTCCTCATGCAAATTCGAGGTGAAGGCCTCGCTGACGAAGCGGGAGAAGGCTTGGAAGAAGACAACAACAAGGTCATGTATGTTGTACATCCCAATTGCGCGGTCGAAGACATGTGAGCGATGTTTGGATTGGATCGAGCTGCTTGGTGTTGGAGGTGTTCCTGGGCATGGCAAAGTAGGATYGCAAAGCTTTCCCGGCAATGAACGAGATGTTGATGATGAATATGAGGTATTTCGCCAGAGTGGATACCGTATAATCACTGGATTTATTCGAACCAAAAGCAACACCTCGTCAGTGATGACCTCCATCTCTACAAACCCGCGGCAAGAACGCTCCCAAAAAGAAACACAACCGGCCCATAACTCCAATGATGCAAAGACCCCTCCATAATGGGACAAATAGCACCATCCACACCGGCCACTGCTCCCGTCAAAATCAGGATCCAGCCTGTGATCCTCGCGTCATTACCATAATGTGCAGCAGCAAAAAGCGCAGCGCCCATGAAAACATCTCTCGCGCCGTAGACGATGAGAATGGCATTGATGAGTTCCTGATCTTGTGGCAGGAGTGGGTGGGGAAAATCGAACCAGGAGAGAGCATTTTGGGGATTGAGCATTGCGTTGATGCCGAAACCAATGGGAATCGCTGAGAGGAGGTAGGCGATCCAGGGGATTGCGGGGGATTGGGAGAGAGGCATGTTGAGGGTGATTTCTTTTGGCGTTGTAGACTGGGAGGCGTTTCTTGTCGTCGAAGATACTTCCTCTCGCTCAACTTATTGTCAATGGCATGTGTTGTTGCTCTGGTGGAGGTTTTTTTTTCTTCATATATCCCGACAGTCAAACAATGGTGACCGGAACAATACGTACCGCCGAACGGGAAGGATGCCGGGGTGAGCAGCGCGGGGTTCCATACGCCTGTCTTCGTCCGAGGGCTCTCCTTGTAATGAGTCGACGATAACGCTCACTGAAAGGTAGCTAATAGTACAAAAAGAAGTAGCTTTAGAGAGAGTCAAATGTCGCGTCGAGTGATGTCTTCTTAATCGTGCTATCGTTGTTTGTAGGAAGTACAGGATCTTTGCTTGCTGCAGATAAGGGCGGCAGCGTTCAATTTCACCAGGCCTTGGGCCAGACTTTGGTGGCTTGAGGAGGAATCTCCCACTGATGAACAGAAGCCGTGGGTCATGACTCCAGATGGTCCATAGGAGATGAGTTTCCTTGGTTGTTTCTCGAGATGCTCAAGTCCCGCCATCGCTTTCAGCAAAGGATGCTTGTCTAGGTCTCAGCCGAGCAAGAGTTGCAGGTCGAATGTCGCGCGAAGACAGCCATCCCCTAGCGATGGCATTCTCTTCCGGATAGAGCATAATCTTCCTCGCTTTTCTGACAGCGCGGACATTGAACCTCGTCCGCGGATGCTCGAGCAGCCACTCTGCATCTAGGACTCGTTCACACATGTCGATTTTTTCTGCAATAGAACGCTCCACGACCTCGGCTCGGTCGCGCAATCTCCCCTGGAGAATAATTAGATGACCTTGCGTAGGCAAGCCGCGGAAGTAACATTGGGCCTCCCAGTACGATTTCCTCCTCTCGCTGATTGTGGAACGAGTCAGGCCCAGGCACGAAGAAGACGGGTTATCGGGAATCCAGACGTCGACGTCCGGGTCCAAGACTTCGCCGCTGTACATGAGATAGCGCTGTTTGATGTTTCTTAGCTCTTCGAGACTGGCGCCAGGAATGTCGTTCAGAACTCCTTGATAGTTAGATATCTCCGTTCGCGGTCTTTTGGCGTTTCGTTGCTTGAGCTCCGATTCTCCAGTATTGATGGCTTCTTCTTGACGAAGCTTAGCTCTCGCCTGGTCAACGCCTCCCCTCCGAAGCATGTCGAAAGTGAATCTGTGTATAATCTCGGCAGCTTTCTCGCGAACTCGAATTGGATCGGCACCAACTATGACCCACCTACACTGGTCATAGAATTGACAGGGTGGGGTCAAGGACTTGTGTGCTAGATTGATGGCGGAGGTGGCTCGCAGAGCTGCTATTCGATTCCCAGGCCGCACTTTGACCGCAAGTGCTGCTTTGGGATCTTCAAGGCCTTCCATTACACGCTTGAGCTTATTGTTGAATGTATCTTCATCCCACAGGTGATGTTGGGCTTCCAGATGAAGGGATCTGAACAACAGTTCTCGCTCATTCCCACCTGGCAAAGACACAAGTCGGGCTTTGAGTTGCTTGGACGCGCCAGAGGAGTCCAGACCACGGAAGTCGCATTGGCCTCGCAACCATTCTGTTTCCAAGTCACCACATTCGTGTGGTACATCGCGCTGGAGTAAGCGAACAAATCGGTCCAGATATCGCGGCGTGCTGTTGACGAAAGAGACCAACCATTCGTGTTCCATCGTGGCTAGCTCAGTTGCAGCGATCGATGGTTGTTGCGGCGAAAACGAATTGTCTAGTTTGACAGAAAGTAGAGTTGGTAAGGGAGCAGAGCGCGAAAACGCGTCGTCGTGAAAGTGGTCTGTTAAGCACTGACCACCGACAAGGTACAAGCCTCCCTGTCAACTAGGGTAGCACAAAGACAAGTAGCAGTATATGACGGGTCGCATTTTCGAAAGATCGCACGTCAAACGTGCGGTCTTCTCTTCGATGCAAAATTAAGCGAGTGCAACCCGTGGCACTTGTGGATCGTGTTGAGCTGTCTTGTCTGAGTCTTGCTACATCGATATCGTTCACCTCTGTTCTGGTCATTCAACAAGCAGCGGAGCATCAAAAGACCAATTTTTCTGCTCGCCTCATTCTGACTACCCGTCCTTGATACGCCTAGGAGGCTCGTGAAAGACTCATTCAGCTACGAATAGCCTTACGCAGCATACGGCCCAGGCTATCGGACTGCAGGAAGGTCAGTGAGTCGATCGACAAACGACGAACCAGGACTACTCACATGTGGCGGCTGCGTGATCTGAAAGTGGTTTCCAGTAATGTAGTCCACATGGTACTGAGCTCCAGGAAGTAACTTCTCCCAGCCTTCGGTCTGCAAATTGCCTCTCGGCTCCAGTAGAAATTTTGTGACTTTAACACTTAGATCGACTTCGAGTCCAGACTCCGCTACACTACTGACCAAACCTTCCTTCACCCAGATGAAGTTTATCTTTGTTGGAACGTGTTCTCTTGCTATTGGCGTAGGCATGTATTGATCTACTGAGATGACCGTGGAGGTGAAGTGCTGTACCAGCCAATCGGGTGCCTTCTTTTCTTTCGAGGCACCCATCAGACCTTTACGGGTCAATTCCTGGACAACCTGCTCGGGAAGCGCCTCGTAGTCCAGGCGGCAAGGCGAATCAATAATGATCATTCGCTCGACTTTCTCGCCGGAAGATATAAGAAGCTTGGCAGCTTCGAATGCATAATAGCCACCTGCAGACCATCCACCAAGAGTGAAAGGCCGTCCTTTTGGCTGCAGTTTACGAAGCTCTCCCATCCACAGGTGAGCCATGCGTTCGATGGAACAGGTGAAGCTTTGAGCCTGACGAAGAAAAGGGGAGTTGAGTCCCACGATGCAGACGCTGTCGTCGATTGGAGGCAGTGTTCTGTAAGAAGTTCCAGCTCCGCTACCATCCGGAAAGAGATATACGATTATGGCTGATGTACTCGGGTCACCCTGGAGGATGATGGACAGAGGAACCTTGGGCTTCGGCACGCCTTCCCAGGGATCTGTAGACTCATCGTCGGCGGCAGAAGCTCCAGAGAGGTATGCTTTGAAGGCACCTACGGTGGGATACAGACTGAATACATCAACAGAAACGTCGAGATCTGCTTGGTCCCTCAGATCTGATGCAGTGGCCGTCGCGAGGAGGTCACCGAGTCCCAGGAACTTCCATGATTCATGGTCCAGAAAGTCCTCGGGCTCGACATTGATGGCCTCTCCGATAATTCGAAGGGCATGCTGTATGCGGTCTGATGACGCCATGTTTGTGCATTTTGACGGTATGTAGGAGTGAGATGATTGTGATGGAGGCGTTGATGTTACACGGGACGACACGTTGGGGCCAAGGGTATAATTGTCCCGAGGGCCCGACCGCCGACAATGAGTCCGTCGCGAAGCAATGGGCAACCGTTGGACGCGCGACGAGCACCTACCGTACTTATTAATTATTAGTCCATCCTCCCATCAACACAACTCCATCGGGTTTCAGGCCTAGCATGACGACAAGCAAACGCCCCCTTCAATCGCCGCCATACTTGTATGCGCTGTAACATCACGCTGTTACGGCCAGCACCGCAGAAGCATTGTCATCACCACGCAGCCTCGCACGGCAGAAAACAATCATCATCATGTCATCTTCATTTGGGCACTGGTTGTCTGACCTGTTCAATACATTTGATTGGTGCCGTCGTCCCGAGTATATATGAATAACCTCAAGCATCTTCCGAAGCCAAGAAAGTACCGTCGTTTGCAATGGCCACCTTCCTAGCTTGCAACGAAGCCTTCACCGGGTTTTTAGCCTCGAAGACTCGATCAAGTTCTTCAAGTGTGCGGCCTGGAAAAGGTGATCAGCACAAGCTCTAGATTGGATGTTTTGCCAGCCTGGAGGCGAGGGGTCGCAACTTACCCTTGGTTTCCGGCAGGAAAAAGTAGAAGACCGAAGCCTGCACCGCGCACCAAATACAGAAGACAATATATGTCCTCCACCCAATGTTTCGCAGCGCAATGGGCCAGGCAAACTGGTTAAGCAGACCGCCGGCATTGACTGCCAACGCGCTGAACGCCATCCCCTGTACCAGTCAGCATGCAGTCACCTTTGTAACACGCTGGAAACCCACCTTTGCTCGTCCCTCAAACGACAATACCTCCACCGGGTAGAGTGCCTGCAGTGGTGTGATACCCACGGAAAACACCGCGCCAAACAGGAAAATGCAAGCCACTGTTGCTTTTGCTGCGGCTGGCGCTTTGGTTGCATCAAATTGTGACGTCGCAATGGTCATAGCAACCCAGACGATGCAACAGCCAGTCATGGAGAAGAGCATGAGTGGTCGGCGACCGAATCGGTCGACGAACGCAGCACCCGTCAGGGCAAAGGCGAATTGAAAGCATGAGTATCCCAAGTTGATGTTGGCCTGAGTTATGCCCTCCGTGTATCCAGCAGTGTCCAATACGGCTGGCAGGAAGTACGACAAGACTCCATTACCGGCCCACTGTGCGAAGATTGAGAATATGCAATTGCAAGCGATGCGGTAACGGCTTGCTCTCGTCTTGAAGAGCGCGCTGTAGTCCCACCAACGCTTGTCCTATCACAAGAGTCAGGTCAGGCAAGTCTCTCACCATGAATGAAGACTTACTGCACCATTGGTATCGAGAAATTCTTCATACTCGGCAATCTCCAGCTTGACCCACGAAGAGTCTCTGTTGCCGTACCCGTGCCACTTGCGCAATGTGTCAATCGCTTGCTCGCGCTTGTTGTTGACGAAGAGCCATCTTGGGCTTTCTGGAATACCCCATGACAAGAGAACGATCAGACTTGGGAATGCAAGCTGGAGCCAGACGGGAATCTGCCATGATGTGTTTCCGGCGATGTTGAGTCCTCCGCGGACGGCACCACTGGACAAGATGGAGCCGATGAACCAGAAAGTGTTACAATATGCTGTAATGATACCTAGAAAAGCAAAAGGTGTTAGCGATATCTGAGACGATTTTGACGTGCAGTCAGGCCTAGGAGGTAGCGCAATTCGAAAGACACCTTCAAACGACGCTGTAGGCCTCCTGCCTGCCTTTTCAGATCTTACCTCTCCAAGCTGGGTGTGCGGTCTCAACGACATAAATTGGGCCAGCAGCGCTTACAATTGACACACCGAATCCGAGAACGAACCGTCCGGCCTTCAGTTGGCCGCCGTTGCCTGTGAAGACCGTGGTGCCGTTGATGATCGTGCCAATGATGATAATCCACGCGCCTATGTTCATGCCGACTTTTCGTCCCCAACGATCGATGGAAGGACCAACAAACGGTAGAGCTGAAACCCCTCCAATCTGATACATTGCCGAGTTGATGGCAGCCCAGGGACCGTCGTTGGTGCCGTTAAAAAAGCCGAGGAAGGCCTTGTTGGCTGTTAATCCACCAAAGAGAGAGCCATCGAATCCGTTCATGGTCTGGCAGAAGCAACCCAGCAGCAGGCACCCTACGAGCTTCCATGTTGTGATGCACCAAAATTGCGGCGGCTCCTGTGTAATGGCCTCGTTGTAAGTATCGCTACCTTTAACGACTTTGATCTCGGCGAACTGTTCATACGGTCAGTGGATGGTGAGGGGAGAAGGCAGTGAGCTCGAACCTTCTCATGACTAATCGACTCGATCCTGGTCTCCATATGCTTTTCCTCTATGGCAGACATGATGAATATGATCTGCAACAACCTCGCCGATGATGGATGTAAAACACGGAATTTTTCGGCGACGACCAGGGGTCAATATATCAGACCTGCCAAGCTCGTAAACTAAACACCACAATGAGCTGCTGTGCAAGCGATGCCTTGCCGGCTATACGCATGTCATACTTGCGATGCGGAGTATTCTACTCCGGAGGCGTCAGACCACGAGCCACTCCGCAGCAGCCCTGTCAGCGTCTGTACGACAGTCTTTTGAAGAATGCGGAGGACCAGCAGGAACGGTGCAGGGTTCTCCGCGATCTTTAAAGATTGTGGACATGAATGGTGCCATGAATCCATCAGGGCGATGTTGGAGCTACGGTCGGATTGGGAACGGAGGGTGGCTCTCCGGTGGTACTGGAGGATTTTAGATTTGGCCGCGTGTGGAGCTAAATCCTTCCTCACCTCGATGTGTTCCACGGTTGATCTGGAACATCAATGTGGAGGTGGTTGCTTTAGGCAAAGGTCAGTTGGTTTTGTGGGCAAGTATGCATCTTCCCGCCATGTGATTCCCAGTGCTGCGATCCTTCGCTACCTCGTCTCTCCTTAAGCTCTTCATGAAATCTGCCAACCAGGCGTTTCTCGTCGGATGCAGAAGACCACCGGGGCACTTCGGCCGAACATTCCTAAGGGTGGTGGGACTGTCTTGAGCGATGTCTTGGTCACTTGAGTCTGCGAGAGAGTACAGCTATACAAAGTCACCATCCGCCGGGCCAGCGTTCAATATGCGCCGGGCGAGCTTGAGCATTAAGCATCGGTGCGAGGTTTTGGTAATGCGTAGGTGTAGGCTTGATACGTGTTACTGGTTTGCCACGACATATATTATGCAGATACAAGCAAGAACGAGGTTGACTGCCATTCTGAGATTGCCTTGGTCTTGATTGCCATCTGTCTTTCTCAGAATTCACCGCAACATGCCCTCGCTCTGTCACGGTTCTAATCCGGTGGTCATGGAATTCGGACAGCTGGATACATGGCGAAGCGAATTGAATTCATGTCTCGTATGGGAGGAAAATGCGGTGCGCATCGCGCTCARTCATCGTACGAGGCAACAGACACAGCGCCACGATTAAATCGCACGGCTCCGCCAATATTCCTTGTACGCTGCGGTATTGTACTGRGCGTAAGAGCACGAGCATGTCCCACATTTCGTCTCGGCGTCCAATTCGACCGTCCCACTGCATGGCAGTCCATCGAAATCGATGTGCGTGGGGCACTTGTATGTATTTACGACATTGCGCAAGACATCCGCAGTATACTCAGGCAACTTGTGGACCATCTGACGGAAGTCTGCATCACTGGCATTCGAGACGAACAGCTCGCGAGCACGTCCAACGGATGTCTCGAGCACTACGGTCTTGAGGAGGCGCTTCGGATCCATCGAGTTGGTATAGCATTCTTTGACAGCACCAGCAAAGTCGGCGATGATGAAGCTTCTAGCAAGCGATGTACTGGGATCTGTCAGTATGACATGCTGGCCGTTGACCAATTTTACGGGGATTTCTACCGGAACTTCGAGACGGCGTACGCCTGCATAGCTGGTACCAAATACTTCTCGCCCAGGGCGAACATGCGCGCATGTAGTGTCAGACTACCTTCATACATGTCGGGGTATTGCATGTGGTAGCAGAAGTGGATCATGTTGGACACATCATCTTCATCATCGTCGATGAGCGCGATCTCGCCGCTGCTTCCCTCCTAGGTATTGAAAAGTCAGATCTTGGTGACAAATGACCATCACATGTGCATCCAAATACTGACCTTGAATCCGCTCGTCAGAGCTATCTTGAACCATTCCGACCAGCCACTAACGATGATCTTGTGAACGTTGAAAGTCTTGTTCTCACATCTGACAATCAAGTCGGTGAAGTGATCTCTTTCGCGGAGCCCTGCAATAATCTTCAAGACCTCGGTTTCCATTGTTGATGAAGTGGTGGGTGTGGTGAGTGTGATGGCAGAGGTGATGGAGGTGATGGAGGTGATGGAGGTGATGGAGGTGATGGAGGTGATGGAGGTGATGGAGGTGATGAAGGTGATGGAGTTCATGCGAAGAAAGTTGTGAATGAAAGCCGGAGCTGTGAAACTTCTTATGGCATTGAAATCGAGCGCCTCATCTGGAAACAGGCAACTTCGCGGTGCGAGACCAATGAGGATCGGCCTCGTTTATCAAGAGGGCTACACATCCAACTCGAGCCGAAAGGTCACATACCATGTCTTGTCGGAGTCTGATACTGACAGCAATTGACATTAAAACCACTATCTTCGAGCTTGGGTGATATAGAGCTATTTTCTGATCACCCAAAGACAAAGCGAGAGGGTTTACGAGAGCGAGGAGTCAGGCTTCTCGAGCAGCAGAAAACCCAAGGCCTGCCTGTTACTTGGATGATCAGCAAGCATGCATTGGTCTCAAGATCAACCTTCCAGCAACACTGCCTCTTCGGAGGATCTCCGCGTGTTGCTCTTGTCGCTTCTCCCCGAGAGCCACCGGGCTTCCTTCACTTGACGRGGGGTATTGGCCATCCATCTAAGCAGTTTGGTGTATCCCAGTTGACCCAGTATCCTTTCGCGCAGTGCGAACAGTAGTAGAAGCGGCCACCAGCGTCCTGTCGTTGACGAATGACGACATGGCCGTCGCATGAACGGATGCGAAAGCACTTGTATATCCATGGGCCTTCCTCCTCGTCGCGCTTGCGTTTCTTTGGCCCATTACTATTGCGTAACACATCCATCGCATAGTTTGGCAGCTCATCCGCCATTTTACCGAAGCCAACATTGCCACTGATCCCGAAGAGCTCAGCCGAGCGCTTCACCGATGTTTCGACGACAGCCGTCTTGAGCGACCGCGTCGGATCAGAGGTTCCTTCGTAGATACCTCTTACAGCCGCCGTAAAGTCTTCGATGCTCCATTTCGCAGTGACACTTCTCTGGAAACCTGCAGCTGCAAAGGTCTGGAGTGTTGGGATGAGGTACTTTTCGCCGACAGTAAACATGCGGACGTGGAACGTCATTGGCATGGATGTCGGCTCTTTGTATTCGAATTGGTAGCAGAATTGAATCATGACAGCGATGGCGTCCTCGTTGTCATCGTGAAGCTCAATCATCTTGCTGTTCGCTTCCTGTGCCCAAGTTAGTCGATCACCACTTCGCAGTACGCCTCCATGGCCACTCTCACCATGAAGCGCCCCGTGCATGCTGCTGTAAACCATTTGGATGCAGCACATAGCACATTCTTGTGGAGTTTGTGCTCCTTCTCGCCGCACTTTACGGTGAGGTCGGTAAATAAGCCATCCTGCTGCTGCTTGCGCAGTGCAGCCAGCATCTCTGACTGCGCCGCATTCTGGTCGTATTTGCCGTCCATTCTTGGACAATGCTGTGGGGTTGATGATGGTAAGTGCTGGGGTAGATGAAGCTTGTCGTTGTTTAGTCGCGGGAGAATCCCGGGCTTGGCAATTTTAGATCAGGAAGGAGTGAATGAAAAGTGATGGACCGGCGACACACCTTGAAATAGATTTATGGAAATACTGATGTCGCATATCTTACCTTAATAGTTGAGAGAGTCGTTGTAAGACTTGCATGGGAGCAGCTTCAAAGGTAAACACCGGCCAATACCAAAGGACAAGTGAAGTGAGGCAGGCGTCGAGGCGAGTCTTGGTAAGCGTAAAGCAACTTCGTTCGCATCACAAGCCATCAAAGCGCAAAGCGGCAACAAACACAGGTAAAAACACTGAAGCCAGATGCTTACTTGCGAGCGTAGGTAAAATCACTAAGTACCTTAGAACATCTCACCTCCAAATTCTCCTCCCTCCGAAAACTCCCTCCAAAAACCAAAAATGTCACGGATCCGTGCCCTCCCACTCCCATCCCGATCCCATCCCGTCCAGCTTATTACTCAACCGCCCTCTCACATCGGCSACCTGTCATCACTCGGCTTGCCACCGGCACCCCAATCTCCAAGCTACATAATAACTTAAATTCCCATAGTCCATCAAGCGGGGATGACTCGAGGACCATTAGGCGATCGAGAAGACCCTTAATACTAGACGCTTCTACAACAGCAAAACTCCACGAAGGGTATTCTGGGCATCGGTGACGATCAATGTTTCTTTTGCAAGCTTGGGGTGTGATCTGGGAATGCTCGAGGGAGTCTCTTTCTTTTTTGGAGTGGTGGCTGGATGGTCGATGTGKAGRTCTCGGTGGT